TTTTCACCCATTTTTTCATGTTGCCCCAAGGGGGGAAAAAGCTTTTATTTTTTTTCCTTTCTTTACACAGGGGGGGAAGTTGTTTTTTTTGGGGGGCAAAGGTTTTTTTTCCCTCCCCAGCAGTTAAGCCCGGGGGTTCCCCTTCCCAGGGGGGGGGGGGGTAATCGGGGTTTTTTTGTGTAGGGGGGGGGGGGGGAAAACCCTCCCCCCCCCTCCCCGGATACATTTTGGGGCATTTTTTGGAAAATTGGGAAGGAAGGTTTTCCCTTGGGGGTTGGTTCCTGGGGGAAAAATGCCCCTTCTTTTGGGGGGGGGGGGGTAAAGGTTTTACCCGTTAAGGCAGGAAATAAATAACAGTCCCCCCCCCCCCCCCCCCCCCCGCCCTCGACACCTTAATCTAATCTTGCCATCACCTCTCGCCTCCTTTATCCCGCCCGTGGCATTCTGCCGATCGCGACAACTGCCCACCTTACACTGCAGCAAGCCCCCACCGCCGCTGGTATTCATCCACGGATCGTACCATGCGGCATGGTGTTGGGCAGAGCACTGGATGCCATTTCTCGCGGCAAAGGGCTACGAGACATACTCCATCAGCCTTAGAGGGACTTCTGGGACGCTCATCCCCGGAGCTGAGGTCCGTTGCTGGTTCGCCGGCGTGTGCCGCGAAGCGTGTGATCGTTTGATGCACCGCTTGTATGGTAACCATGCGTCCCGTGCGGAAGGGATAGCAGAGGGTTCGTGAGTAACATGGAGCGGTCTTGCAACAAGCAGGCAGGAAGGCAGAATATGTGTTGTGTCTGCGGGTTCGACATCTTACCTCGTGTGGATGCCCGTAGTGAAGGGTTTTTACTATAGAGGAGGGGTGCCATACCCGTTGCTCAATGTATCTTGTGCGGAGTACCGCAATGTACATGTCGAGACACAACAGTGTCGTGATCAGCGACAAACACAGCTCGTGCTTTTTGCACTTTAGCTGGGGATGGTGTACACAGTCTCAGAAAATTGCCGCCGGACAATGCACATTACCGTGTCCTTCTTTTTGTGTTTAGTTCTCCGCACACCGAAGCGCACGCAGGATTAACTTTTTTGCGCGGTCCCTATTCGTGTCTGCCTCTCTCTGCAGCCAGACGCGAAAGGCATCAAGGTGAAGATCTCCGACCACGTTGATGACATTCGGAGCTTTGCGGAGACCTTCCTGCCCGGGCGCCGGCCGGTTTTCGTCTCTCACAGGTTAGCCAAGTCCGTCGATGCATATATTCATTCATGTTGACCCCCTTTGCATTTGCCTGGGTGAATTGTCACGAACAACACCCCCGCGAATCTGTGTTTCCGCCGCTGGTTGCTCGAACGCTTTGCTCGTTTCCCTGCGAGCTGATTCTGGCGCGGTGCCGCGAAAGTTTGCCAAATCAAAGCGACTCGGTTTTTACCCCAAGTCCCTCCACCGGTCCTCCTCCTGGCGTGCCTCCATGACACGTATGATTTGCTCTGATGTAGCTTCGGCGGGGTGGTTCTGCTGAAGCTTTTGGAAGAGCTAGCGACTGAAGGTGGTCAGGGCGAAAAGGAAAACAAAGACAAGGAGGGTGCCGATGGAATACGGCCGGCCGTGGCCGGGGGGGCGTTCTTGTGCTCGGTACCCCCCTCAGGGAACGGCCCCATGACAAAGCGATTCATCAAACAGGTGTGCCGTAGTAGCCGGGTGCGGTGGCACCGTCGAGGTTGATGCGGGGCAGCAATGGGCTCTGTGTCTGCACTGCTACCGGTGCATAGCGAAGCTGAGCGCAAGTTGACATTCTCCGAAGGATAAGGAGCTCGCGTCAAGGTTGCCATCTGGCCGCGTTCGCCTGTTTTTCACATGATGCTTCATGCCTCGCACTTTTCGCTCGGGAGGCATGCGCCGGTCGATACAGAATGTACAGAACAACACGCACCGTTCCAGCTCGACCTCTGCTGCCTGTTGTTTGCACTTACTTACACCACACACGCGTGCCTTTCACGTCGCGCGTTTGGCTTGGCTGCAGAGACCGGTGATGGCGGTGAAAATCGTGCTGGGCTTCGTTCTGAAGATGGCGGTGTACTGGCCGTGGCTGGCTCGAGATCTCTTCTTCTGCCAGGCGTTGGAGCAATCGGCGCTCAAGAGGTGACTTGGAGGTGTCACCCCAAATGGGGCCAAATATCGTTCTACCCCTCCAAGTGGACTCGGAATCGGGCGTGCCTAAAACCTTCCGGTTGCTTGTTCTGCTTTCTGAGCGTTCGATAATATGAGACATAGCAACTCGTCCCTGTGCCCCTCGACGTTCGATTAGGACCAATGCAGATGCGATTATTCTCGCCGACACAGATAACCTGTGACTTGCGAGACGTTGAAGTGTTCCTGTCGGTGGTCGCGAGACAGGTGGTGATGCGTAAGCACCAAGCATGACCCACTGGTGAGCACGTGTGTCGTCCCGGGAAGAAGCTTAATGGCAAAAGCGTCTGTCTCACAGTGTTGCCTTTTTCCTCCCCAGATCCAGACCGAGCCCTTCGCCATTTACACCCCGCCTTGTTTTCCATGCGCGAACATCCGCACCAGATACATGTCACGTTTCAAGGCCGACTCCAAGAATGGCTTGGATCTCATGGACTTTTCGGGCCAGCTGCCAATGAAAATGGCGAACGCGGACGGGCAGGCAACGTGGGTGAACCAAGCCCCACCCAGGTAATATTGCATTCCGGATGAGAATCGTACTACGGTCTTTGGTCATTGTAGTTGTGATTGAAATATAATGGTTTAACGTGTCGTGTTTGCTTGCCCCTCAGCACGTGCGCGCCTCTGATTTTTGTTTGCCGTCTACCCCTGTGCTGTTTTTTGTTTTCTCACCGGAGTGAAGGTTGGTGATCGGGGCAGAGCGGGACCGCATCGTGGATGAGGCAGGTGTTCAGGAGATGGCCGCGTTCCTCGACACCGACTACGTAATGCTGCCAACGGTGCCGCATGAGGTCAGTGATTCTTGTAGTGTAAGCCCGCCAGCCACCCTGTCCATAGCTGCTTCTATCCGCACAGCCGTGTTGACGGCCTCATTTTCTGTCCTCTTCCGAGCGGACAACTCGAACGTTCCCCACCCAGCGTTGTTGTGTATGATTTGTGCTGGGATTGTTGCTTTCGTGCCGTTGGGTTGTGCATGTTGTGGAAGTGGCGTGTTGGTTGGTCACTATGTAGCGCTTACCAACGTAGCTTGGTCTGTTCCCGGTCGTGACTGTGCGGTAGTCCCGCCTTTTCAATGCCCCGTGAACCGTGGGATGCTTATCGCCCCCGCAGGTCATGCTGGGTCCCGATTGGCCGTTGGGGGTCGCGCGGCTTCTTCAGTGGCTGGAGACTACGGACTTTGCCATGTCGAGCAAGCCATGACGGAAAGTTCTGCAGGTGTTGGTCGCTCTCCTCGTATTTCTGTGTTGTGCTCTGCTCATCGTGCCGTGCAGTGCTCATCTCAGAGGAGTAAACATGGTTGTTCGCCCAACGCAAGACCACGCCCACCTGAACCCCAAGAAGCTCGATGGACGCGTCGACAACACACCCACATCGAGTCCGCTGCCTTTTCTTTTGACCCGGAGAAGAGTTACGTTGACACATCAGGAAGCACGGGGGTGTAGCATGCATGTGGATAGGTGTCAAGAGGTATCATGGCCTTGGCGCCCACCTTTCGACTACCTCGAATCGGCTCTGCTATCAAAGCTGCCGCGTGTTTGTCATGGACCTTCATTGCAACTGCGCACGTAATTCTGGGACGCGAAGAACCTGCCAGGGCGGTGGGGTCACTGAAATGGAGAGCCTGTCCGGCCGAAACGCGATAGACTTACGTCGCCAGCGTTGAGTGGCCTCTGCCGCGCATTGTCCCGGGACTATTGCTGTTTTGGTGCTGTCATCTCCTTGCTATTGCGTAGATCGAGTGCTCGCAGTGCCCTTTTTTGCCAATTTTCACAAGCATGCTTTTTTTGGTGTTGTTGAATGCATCACGTTCTTCTCTGTGTTCGCTCTTGTGTTCCTCGTCTGACGACCTCCGATTAACCTTTACAGAAGTAATTCCTCTTTCGTGCTTGCCGTTGTGAAGCACTTGGGCGGTTCGGACAATGATAAGGTCCCCTTGAATCTGCTCATTCTGTGTGGTGGGCACAGTTAGCTGTTGCTGCTGACAAGCAACCATCACTTGTCAATAGCACAGAAACGTGGCAACTTCACGATCACGTCCCGCCCTGTTCGATTTGCGCACGGTTCCCCCTCGATGATACAAACAGCTGCGTGCTTGCAACACGTAGCATGTTCTTTGATCAACCAGCTCGCGGTCCTCTGACCGTGTGGCGTTTACAGTCCATATCATGGTGTATCATATTTAGCTCACTATCTGGAGTGGACGATTCCTTTCGGAGCGTCACCACTTGGGAGTACACGACTGCAAGTGCTTGCATATCCTGCTCATCGACAATGGCTGCTATCGAATCCCACGTACACGTTGACAGGAGTTTCAACATTGGTTAAAACCTCAGCCATACATGCGCACACGTCGCACTTGCAGCCAAGGCCTCCCAGCAAGGTTAAGTGGTGAACGTCTGTGTCATTTCTAGCATGCAGCTCGACTTCATTCCATTCAGCCACCTGCTCGAACAAGTTACCATGTCCTCCCCATCTGTCTGTCTACACGAGCTTTCGGTCGTCCCGAATCCTTGAACGGACATTGAGGACTTTGTCGTCGTTCTCTCAACATTTATAGCCAGCAATAGATTTGCTTTTCTTCGTCATTCAAATTGCCTGACCACGGTATCACCCCGTACAACATGTACAGTTCCTCGGTAAGATGAAGGGTAGACGAACAAAAACAAGACCGATGAACGGCGTATAGCGGACATACGTCGTAGTACACAGCCATTGAAACGTTTGTGCTGTGCCGGGTCCGACAACACCTCAAGATGTGGGCAGGTTACTGTCCAATCACACGCATACGTGAACGACAAAGACAGGCGAGCACACAAGAGTACGGCATCAGACGACCCGGAAATAAACCTAACTATCACATGTTCTGCCGTAGTTCCGTCGATAACACCGTTTTTCGCAGCATATACACTGTATGGCCTCGCCCCTTAAGTCGAAGAACACCGATCAGGGGTCACACAAAACAAGATATTCGATGAGGAAATGCTGCCAATGTCCCACTTGCACTTCAGTACATTCAAAACTGGGCAACTCTGTCAAGTGTAGATTTGTCGCCGTCCGCTGGAACGCGCCTCCACGAAACATATAGATACCGGATGTACACCAGCCACATCGATTGCGTTTTAAGGCAAGCGAAACCAAATCAATGTCTCCAGCCCTTCTCGTGCCCGTCCTTCATATGAGGCTCAAGGAATCCTCGAAATACAGCACCATCTGCACTCCAACGGGCTCCGTAGCCCGACTCTTCTCGTATCTCGAGCACGCCATCTTTCCCTCCTCCTCCGAACACGTGGAGGTTTACCCACGTGGCCCCCGCCAGCAATCGCAACGTCACCTCCTCGGCGTGGTCGTTTTTTTCTGCTTCTGTACCCCCACACTCTCCCCACCAGCCCTCTCTTGCGCGCACGGCGTGCTTGCAAAGAGCTCGGCCACCCACCGTCAAAATGCAGACGGTCGTAGCCCTCGGTAGTATCGCGCGTCCCTCGGATCTCTTTTGGCTCCCATCAGCCGCAAGACATGATCCTGAAGAACGCGTGCCAGCGCACCCTTCGCTCACCACCAACAAGTGTGGCTTGTTGATGGCCTTCAATAGGACACGGCGAGAGGGGGGAAGGCAACCATCAATGCTTCCCACCGTCCGCTTCAGTCCCAACAGGTCCCGAATTCCTGCCTGTCCAATCGACGAAATAAACTTCTCACCACGTCGAAGAAGGTCCACAGCGGCAAGGTTCCATCGAGCCGATGCCGATTGTGTGGTGCGGGAGTCACAAGTGGCCCGAGCTCCGACCACATTCTCTCCCGGCCGCTCGGTCAAAGCCGGCAACGAAATCGGGGTCGCGCGGGGATCAATACAGGCATGGTGGGAAGAGCCATGCGTACAGACACATAGCTCCGGCCGGCAGGGCGTTGAAGAGAACCGGTGACACTTGACGACGGTTGTCTCGCACATTTCGCAAGCCCCGAACAGCGGCGCAAGCGGCGCCGCGGAACAGCCGAAGCCAGTCCGCGTGCCTGCCCCAGTCAAGCCTGCAGCGAAGAGTTCGGCAGCCAATTCCACAAAGGAGTATGCCTCGTGTTCGATTGCTTCCGCCACGTGGCCAGTTTCTAGAGAAGCGATCGATCCCTTGTCGGCAAAGCACCTTTGCAACCACGGATGCAGGACAGGAAGCGCAGCACGGTCGGCTTGAGACATGGGTGTAGGTAGAATCGATAACCAACGAGTGCGTATCGCGGAAAGAATGTCATGACATGGATTGAAATAATGCTACACGTGTGCTTGGCCGCTCAACCATAAAAGCTACACATTCTGAGCTCGAAAATCTCGATGGCGCGAAAAACATGACCCACAGAAAAGGCAAAAGCATCGTGATGACATTGATCCGTAGGGACGTAGTCATCCACGCAATGAATATAATTGGCACGGGATGAGTTTGTTTTTTGTTTTTTTGTTTGTTTTTCTTCACATTAAACTCGTGTCAGTTGCTAATCCCAAAACCTAGCAAAGACTCGGCCCGTGGTCACAAAAATGCTAAAGCCATGAGTGAGGCAGTGCGATAGAACAAAACTCAAGAACTGTCCCACAGCAGGAATTGACCCCGATACCCGACCCTGGTTTGCCAAGACCACCGAGTGTCATTTTCTGACGGCTCAAGTGGAGACTACCGCGACCAGGCCTCTCGGGTCGGCTTGCACCGATCTCTCTCGCCCCGGTCGCCGGGTATTGTCGCAATAAAACTCCTGAACAAAGACAGTTCGGCTGGTGCGGCCGTCGGACCTCCCGACCAAGTGTAGAATGGCATCAACCGTACTCCAATACAAACACAGCAGATGATCTAACTCAACCAAGGTCACGAGCCGAAGGCCAACAACATTGCATTACAATGCACCGAGGCCTCTTGACTTCTCCAACCTCGTCGGTGTTCCGACCACCTCGCCCTGCCAACGCAGAACCGGGTAAAACATGCCACCACCGCCGCCGCGCGCGCCCGCCACACGTGTTCCGAGATCTGCCTGTCCCTGCCCTGTGTTTACGCACAGACCAACCCTACCTCTCTCGCACAACCACACACGCGCTCGGTGGTACACAGATGTCTATGTGTTGGTCGAATTATTATTCGAACAGAGACGTGCAACCTTCAAGACTACCGTGATGCTATTTGTCGGACTGTACAACTAACCAGGTGAATCGGCAGAGAGAATTGCACAATGGACGCGCAAATCCTGTCGTCGCTGCTATTTATGGTGTTGGTGGTGTAGTTGGGTTGCCCCCACACTCCCAAGTTGTTCAGGGAACCCTTGGTTGAGATAACACTGCGCCCGACCATTGTTTGCGACAGTGATCGGGGTGACCGAAACGGTGTAAACAGGTCGGCTCGAGTAGCCCGGTCACCGTACCCTCCACTTGAGCTGCCAGAAAACGGGACTCGGTGTCTGGGCCAATCAGCATGGGGCCTCCGGGTCAATTTCTGCTGTGAGTTCCTCGTGTGTCCTATTGTGTCACCAACCTTCCCGGTGCGGTATACCATTTGATTGTTCCTCAATATATTTGTGGTCGCTGCGTGCCGGTATGGGAGTAAACGCCAACGTTGTTGTGTTTGACTACAACACACTGATGCATGCAAATGGCCGTAAACATGCTAGTACGTACATAGTACTGGTAGATCGGTGAGAGCATGTATATGGTTTGGCTGGAATCACCTCAGGTTGTCGTTCCACTTGTGGTATTTCTCTCTTTCATGATGGTAGAAACTACGTCCACAGAAGGACAGGACCAGCCGTGTCAGCAGCTGTCCGACACCTAGACTACGCATACAGCAGTATTAACAACTGCTGTAGTCTACATAGACTTGTATCGCACACAGTGCATTCCATGCCGTTGGTGACATGAGATAGCACGCCAAACCAAACGCTAACGGAAAGCTCTGGATGAGACGGTTCCAACGCCGCCCTATTCGGCACCACTCTCTGCGCCGTGGAGCAATCGAGCTTTGACTATCGGTCCAGGGGGTGTGATATCGTAAGTCACCATATCACACCATGCACGTGCGCTCGCCTGTGAATGCCCTTGCGTCGCCGATTGGCGAGGTCGACCATCGCAAGAGCCAGGGCCCAAACGTACGGCTGGACGATGAGACCTACTCTCGGTGCGTCCCTCGGCCGTGCGGCCGCTTCAGGTCGAAGTACATCCAGGGCATCTCCGACACACAAAAGCTGCTGCGCAACTGCGTCCCCCTGATGAGCCGGTCCCTGGAGAGCCAGTCTCAAAGCCCACGAAACCAGCAACGTTACGCCCTCATTGAGATCAGGCCGTGCTTTCATGAGAGGTTGACGATGTCTGCCAAAAGCTTACCCTGCACCAGGTTTGGTCAAACGGCGCCGACGAAACCAGGGGGGTGGAAGGATGGTACCACTGGATGATACCGCCGTAGAAGCTGATTGCTGTAGGTTGCGGTGGGACCACAAGGAACGGTCGGTCGGTCTCACACAGGACTGTTCGACTCGGCCCTATTTGGCATCGTCAAAATCGTAGAGAAAGGTCTCGGACAAGGCGACGAACGGGTGCATTGGCCACCCTACAGGATATGCATCTGGGGAAGAGTGGGGTGGAGAGATGAACGACACGAGAAAAGGCTGAATTGAGAAGCTTGAGGAACGTATGCATTCAGCGGTGTACCTTGTGTCGTCTCAGTTTGAAAAAAGGTAATAAAAAAAAAAAGGTACGGATCTACTGTTTTGCAACTCGGGGGGCACGCGCCACCTTTGGCTTTTCAAGCCATCGCAGCGCTTGCCGGTCGCATGGAGTCCGCCGACACCAGTGCCACCATAGTGCACTGGCGTGGCTGGAGACGCAAGGGCGACTTCGAGGTTTGCCTGTCGTGGTTTCGCAGGTGCGAAGAGTGTCGTCCAACAAAGGTCGCCGCAACAGCAACCGAGCTTTGAGATTCCGAATCATCATGTCTGTTTGGTCGCTCTCACCGCCAGGAACAGGTAGATCCGACTTGATCTGTGTCGAGCGCGGCGACTTTGCGGGCCGCTGAGGGGACTGCCCATGAGTCTACTCTCGAGGACTGCACTTTCATCGCCTCTACCCCACGTAATTTTCGCGTGTGCCAGCTTTGCAAAAGTTGCTGTGTGCTGGATGTCTTGTTGCCTCTTCACCGCCGCGTACTGAGTATAGTTCGAATGAAAGTTCCGACGCGCCCTCATGGCGCTGTCAGCCGGCAGTTTAGCCACCCTCGCCCAGCTGTGTGAATTTTGTATTTGAACGCTTTTGTATTTGAATGTTTCCTCCGTCGTCGCACACCGCGCCGTACATGAGCACTCTTCCCCGAGCGGTCGCTTCACGAAATTTAAACGCTTTCACATACAACATCATCCACACAACGTGCGGTATTGGTTGTCCAAGTCTGGTGTGGCGGGAGAACGGACGTGTGCCGGTGAGCGTTGAGCAATCATGAGCCCAAATAGTTTTTGCTGCCGGCGAACAGCGACCAAAGGTTGTGTCAACTTGGATCTGTACACGTATCCCAACCTGGTGGTACACGCCATGACGGTGCAGCCTGTTCGGCGCCACAACAAAAAAAGGTTACATTCACAGCGCATACATACATCATCCGCGCCGTGCGGCATTCGCTGTGCAGGGTTGGTGGCGCAAGAGGCAACGGGGTGCCGGTGAGGGTTCAGCTGTGTCAGGAATGGTGGTAGCTCGTGCTGCCGCTGGAAAGCGAACAAAGTTGACGTAGCCAAGAGTAGCCAATCCTGGCGGTACACGTCATGACCATACCGCCTGTTCGGCTCTATCTCGGTGTTTTGCTACCACCTCATGTTGTTGCGCAAAGAGAGACGAATAAAAGGCATGTTGAACCTAACTGTCAGAACTACTGTCGGGCTGGTGCTCTTCGCACAATAGGCCGGAAGATGCGGGCTCGCCTATGCGCTTGTGCGCTTGCCCCGACCGTGTTGCGGCAGACGAAGACCTTCGTGCCCAAACTTCAACCCTTCAACCCTCTACATCCCCAAAGAGGAGACTTCCCGTTGCTCTCCGCGTGTGTTTCCTTTACATGCAGTAGATAGTCTGATTGCTAATCAGGAGCACCAAAAAAACAACGTTCTCCGGGCGCGTGTGGGCCGGAAGGTATTCGCAACACGGAAGGATCGAAGGGCGCGCCAGCTTTATCGGACATCCTGCTCAGTCTGTGCTAACAAGACTCCTGTGTCCGGGATGGCCACAGCACCTGCCGAGTGGAAAAGGTGTGTTCCTGCGTAAATTGCGCAACAAGATATCGTCATCTACAGCAGTATTCACTTTTTTTACCTTTTTCTACATGCGCACTTTCAAGAATCCCTTCCTTGTCCCGTCTCGTTGGCAGTCCCTTGATGTTCATCGTCCAAGCCAGTTAATAAACTAGTATGAGTAAACTTGACATGTACTCTTATGACGCATGAAAATTTGCCTGCTATTGCGGCGTAAGGTGAAACTCCCAATTGCCCTCTTGCCCTTGAGGGCTCAAGGGTAAAATATCTACTTTGTAGATCGCCGCCATGGAGCACCAGTGGCTTGGGGAAAAAAATTGGTAGAATTTCAGGTTTGATGATACGCACTACAATCGGCAATACATTATTATTATTTGATGTACATGTGCCCTCTATTGTAGCAGCAGTACAGAACAACACAAAATTTTGTCTGTGTTGTGGAATTAGTGGAGCGGTGGCGAAGGTGCACTGGTATGGTATTTGGAGGTAGACATGTGATCGTGGTTGATCATGGTTATTTGGCGCCGTCGGATGCTATGACGTGACGTCATGCTAGATCAGGGCTTTATGCCGAGACATGCGCCCTTCTGTTCAGTGTGTGCGTACAGGCGATCTATGATCGTGTGTGCGTGGGATATTGTGAGTTGGCTTGGAAAGCGTTAATCAAGAGAAAGAGAACAACGGAAAGCAACAACAACCTGCTACTGTGGTCGGACAAGAGAATTCCACACAGCTCAAAGGTGATTGATTCTGAAGGAAGGGGTCAAATACCGAGGATGATGCCGTAAATATTCCTCTGAGTCAGGTACCATTACCCATGCCGTTCTCTGCGCGGTCGTCTGTAGCGATACCCGTTACTCCCTTCGCGAGCTCGAGCGTTGGGCCGATCAAGGGCACAGGAAGCCGCTGGATGACTTATTCAGGTGCGGGCGAGCGTAGCAACCGTGATATCCTCCTTTTGTCTCGTAGGCTTCAGTTCCGTACCCACGTGTAGATTTTCGAGTTCGCCACCATCTGGTGAACCTCTACGCCAGACACCTAATGAGAAAATCGTTCTTACAACAATGAGCAAGACCTCATTGAGTAATGTTGCTAATCAGTATCATTGATACCAGCCAACGTCTGTTCGAGCTCTAACGCAATACAGTAGTGGGCCCTCTATAGTGCCGGTTGAATAGTGCCGGTGCCCGGTATAGTGCCGGTTAAATTTCTGGACACAGACAGCGCCCTCAATAGTGCCAGACCGGCACTATTGAGGGATGGCCCGTTATAGTGCCGGTTGGGCGCAGCTGTGCCCCCCAATAGTGCCGGTTCACTACCTGCTGTAGACACACACACACACTACCGGTCGCCCCGGTGGTCTAGTTGGTAGTATCCACGTTAACCTTCTAAGTTTCAGGTCATGGGTCCGAGCCCCGGCGATTTTTTTTTTTTTCTTACTTTCGTTCCTGAAAGAATTGGAAGCAATTTCTCCTGAATTCGTTAGTAAATGATGCCTTGGTGCATCAACTTCACTGTTGACGAGGGTGGGAGTACTGAACCCTCTCGCGATAAAAACAATCATAGGCATGTACCGCAGAAGGGGGTCCAGCCCCCCCCTCCTGTGTGACCCCGGTTGGGTCGTCTAGCTAGTCGTAGTGGAGGATGTGGGCCAGTGGGGCAGACGACAGAAACAATAATGGGAGAACAAAACAAACACACACATGTGTGGAGCTATGGCATGTGTATGTGTTGCTATTTTGTTTGAGTCATCTAGCTGCTGACACGATGACTGTTGGATCTTGGGAGTGTACGATTATCAAATTGGGAGATGCAGCATACCACGATATCCTGGTTTCGGCTGGGCTTGAATTAACCCTTTTGCTGTCCTCCGCTCTTTGCATCAGTGGCTTCCTAGGTTCGGGCGAGGGCATTTGTGTAGCTGAGATGTATGTCTACATGAAATATATATATGTAGAGAGAGTCGTATTAGCATTCGCATTTAGCGCATTGCGCATTTTTCGAATTTTGGCCCCCTTCCACAGGGACCTTGATTTGTACCCGCTGGCACTGACGTCTTTTCATTGGTCAGCCGGTTAGCGCGGTCGATGCTAATAATAAAAACACACACACACCACGACACACCAGAGAGGACAGACGCCACACCGAAAAGAGTGTACACCAGCTGCTGCAGACCATAAGAGCTCTACGCAGAGGCGCACCATGCCTTGTGCGGAAGGTGAACTGTGCCTTCAACAGGACAGAACGCCGCAAGACCCTCATGGCCACGTCTGCCAGGGAGGATGTGGCGGGCGGCTCCACCGCAATTGCGGCATGCAGACATGAGAGAATTTGTTGCTGCTACGGAGTAAGGTTGGGGTACAGCTGTTGTAGCAATGGTTGTTTGCTTTTCTTCCGGTGCGCTTCCTGTCGTGCTTTTCTTTGTTTTTGTTTCTTCTTGTCACATCCAAGAGTTGCTGCTACGTCGCGAGCGCGGGGAGAACAGCTGTGGTAGAGTATGTAATGGCCATTTATTTTCCGTGCGGTGCGCTTCCTGTCGTGCTTGTGTTCTTGGGGTTGTTTTGATTCTTTCTTGCGACATCCAAGGGGGTGCGCCAGGCAGACATGAAAGAGTTGCTGCTACGTTGCGAGGGCGGGGAGAACAGCTGTGGTAGAGTGTGTAATGGTCATTTATTTTTCGTGCGGTGCGCTCCCTGTCGTGGTTCTCTGTTGTCTTTTTTTATCTGGCAACATCGAAGGAGGGCAACGAGGACTTAAACGTCCAGTAATAATACACATATTCGATCCACGATCCACATCGTACTCTGTTGGCCCCGCAAAGCTTGAGCGCTGCACCATGAAATCAACACCTACTCAGTAGTGCCGGTCCGGCACTTCTGAGGGATATTCGAAGGCTCAATAGTGCCGTACCGGCACTACTGAGGCACTATTCTGAATACTGCCGGTGCCCGGTATAGTGCCGCTTTTTTCTCTGGACACTACCCGGCACTATAGAGGGCCCACTACTGTATCAGTGCCTGTGAGTCGGGGAATGCGTGGCAGATACGAGAGTTTGGACCTGAGTACGCAAGCAGGACAAAAATGATCCCACCACCCCCGCAAAACCACCCTCCCCGTCCCTCCTGCCCTGCGACTAATTTAACACAAGAGCGTGGAGGGGAATCCAGGAGCTTCCCCCCGATGATCCCAACAGCTACTGGGCAATCGCCGGGTATCACGGGATACCTTTGGCTCCTTTTGACCCGGATCAGCCCCACCTGCCGCCACCGTTCGCCTGGTGGGGAGGGTTTTGTCATCACGGGAACGTACTCTTCCCGATGTGGCATCGTGCGTACGTGCACCATCTAGAAAATGCCCTACGTACTCAGGTGATGAGCTCGAAGAGAGGTAGCTCACCGCTACCACTACCTGCTCACCATGCGAGTGTGGGAGGAAGCATTGGTTTCGTCGGTTCATGCTGCGGGTGATCGAATCAGGGGCAACCGAATCGCATGTTTCCCCCAAAGCTCGAATACCGCAGCCGTTTTGCTCGAATACCGCAGCCGTTTAGTAGACAACAGCTAACACATTCGGATGTCACACGCTCTCAGTCTTTCTTCACGATAGTTTTCGCGTGGAATACCTAGAAATACCGAGGTATCGCACGAAATGGCTGCCTCATGGCCAGTGCCAGTATTCTGAAACGTTTCCAGATGTTTCTGTGATGTGTCTCCCCTTTGTTGACTCGCTCCCTGTACTCTGGAGGTTCCGGACGTGACCATGGCCTACTGGGACAAAGGTTCAAAGGATTCGCGCAATTATGGCATGCCGGCGAGCCTCACCGACGAGTTTATCAAACTGGATGGAGAGGTACTTTACTGTCGAAGTTCCCGGGGTCGCATTTTCTATTGATAGTAGATATTCGACGCTACTGGAGCAGTTCCCCCCGTGGTACCCGGCCCCTTCGGAGTAGCCGAAGCCGTTTCTTTCCAGAGCAACAATTGTAACCGTCCTCGCTGATCAAGGGTTGTTGTGCCTCAATCGCCGCGTTCAGTTGGGTCGGTCACCAATTTTGAAACGCATGACATGAAGTTGCGCTTATTCTATGACCGAACAAAACTGATTTTATTTGTGCACCCTCTCGGTGTTGCTCAGGTGGTTCGGAACCCGCTGCAGCGCTTCACGTTTCCCGTGGATATCGAATCATCGGCACAGTTCCAGAGCCCGACGAAACCGTCAGTTGCTGACTTCTCCAAACGCGCGGTATGTTTTGTCTTTCCAATTGTAGAGGCATGGATCTTGTCGTGGCTGGTGATTTTCCTTCCTGGCCGTACAAACGCCGCACAAGTTGAATTGCTTTCGATGTCAGCCGTGCGTTGAAATTACACACAGGGATTCGTGTCGGACACTGGGAGATTTGTCTCAAAACAAGGGCAACATGCGTTGTTCACGAAGGACTGATGTTCGTTCTTGGCGGTGACGGGGAAATCGCGGCAGGGCACGCACACGGTGCGGTACCCGATGTCGACGTTCTACGCGAGTAAGGCTGAGAAGGTTGCTGCGGCCGGTAAAGCGCACAACGCTGCCATACGGAAGCGGTACCCTCGCTACGAAGATCAGCTGAGAGCTCTCAACCTCAACGTCAGGCTTGCCCTCGTCGGAGACGCTCAGGTATTCAGGGACTCCATCGAACAAGCACCGCGACCGATTATTTATTTTGCCCTTGTGATTGCCGCTCGCGGTTTACAGCTTTTCTTGGCCATACCCCGCGTGAGCATCCCCTGTCCTGTACTCGAACTTTACGTGACAGACATGTAGTGGTGAGGTTTTGGCAATGGCGCTCGTTAAAGCGTCTATGTTCGTCTTGGATACACGGGATAGATGGATGGCAGAATAACAAGGCAACCGTTACGTGCGGCAATTCGAGCAGGATGATTTGTCCGTGGACTGCGACGGAACGGCAGACGGGGAAACCTACGCGCGCTTGGGGCGCTGCCTTGAGGCCCCAAACTTCAACATCCTCTCGAACAACAACAGGTAGGGGCAGACACTGTGTTTGCACCGCGATATAGAGAAATAACTCAACTTTTTCCTCAAGGTGCCGTTCTATTGTATTCCAATAATCATGCCCTTGGTTTTCGTACTCCGCCGTGAGAGCCTTGCCGTACCCCAGATGTTTTACACCGGCGTGTGATTCCTTTTTACTTTGATCGTGTTGCAGAAATACCGGCCATTGAACGCATTGTCCGCTGCCTCCGTTTTTTTCTCTGGCTTGCCGGTGGTGTCGTCCTTTGCAGCACGGGTAAGTGGTACACGTCTGTGGAACAACCTCATGACGAGATTCACCTCGCCATTGGTGGTCAAGACCACCAGCCGATCAAGACCGAGGTACCCGAGACGTACGACAAGAACGGCGATTTGTCGAAAAGCACGAAGGCGGTCGTGGCACAGGTAGCTACGGCTTGAGGTAGATTCCCCTTGCATCGCTGACAAAGCAACCAATTTCTGGGACGGCGGGCTAGTTGTCACTTGGGAGCGCTCCTGTCGCTGCCGACTGTGAATGACCCCCACGGTTGCCATTTGTTGTCACTTTCGCTCGGCGTACCGTTTACTCTTGTTGATCAATCTATGTAGACGAGTGCTTCCCCAAAAATATGGGCTGTTAACCCTTCGACAGAATTTGCCGGTGCGCTTCGTTTTCGGGATGAACTGGTCGAATAGAAGCGTTAGCGGAGTTCAACCACGGCTTGGTCGGAATAAGCACGTGGCTTAACCCTCTTCCTCCTCTTGCCTCATCAAAATTCGCTGCCTGGGAACAACCACTTCGCCACACACAACGTACCTTTAAATCATGTCCCCGTTGGCTCTCGGTCTTCCCTTTCCTGTGGGTGCTGCTGGTGGTTAGATCATGGGGAGCAACGGGGACATGGGGGAGAACGAGACGGCAGCTTTCGACCCTGTGTTCTTCTTCCACCACTGCAACATCGACCGTATGATCTGGTGAGCTTCTGCAACATTCAAGACCACCTCTTGTTGGACTTTCAGCCAACTGATCGACAATTGCATGTTCAAGCTCTTCGTCACGCACGCAAACAATGTTCAAAGGGGGGCAGGGTTACGTCTGTTCCGTTGCACTGCGGCAGCCTGTGTCTGTTCGAACAAATAGCATCCAATTCAGATTCACGTACAAGTATTTAGCGGTGGACCTTGGATCTGTCAAAAACGTTTGTTCAACGAGCTGACAACGGCCTTTCTTTATGATAGAGGCGGGCGCAACAATGAGATCGCAACACTCGGCGCCACATTTCCGAGCTTTGCTGTTTGAAAGTGTGTTGACTGTAGCCTCCCATTTAGTGTAGCCACAGGCACGACCCGCTTGTGATGCATCAAGGAAACGCGAACATGGCGTGTGTGCGGCGTTACTAATTGAGTTTCATTTCAACGAGAGTCGCTTGCTTTCTGTATTCGAGATTCAACAAGTGGGATGATTACCGCCCAACACAACACGGTTGGATTTTGTGCGTGGAGGTACGGGCGCATGGGCACGGACCGTGCTTTCGAGTAGACTCAATTTTGGCCTCTATTTTGTGATACTGGTCCGCATCACGGGTTTTCTTTTCTTCCCAATCGAAATGAGTGTGCTTGAAAAATCCGGAGTTACCATCGACTTGGATGAGCATTTGTACTTCAGCTTTCCCGGCAAGGCACAACCTTTTGTTTTGCGCACGACTGTGGCGGATGAGAGACGTTCATCCGTAGTTTTTGGTCTATTCCCCCTGCTGCGCTGTGCGTTGTGTCCAAAGGATCTGGCAGAAGAAGTGGGGTAAGACTGCCGAGGGCTCCATCGAGATCGATCCCTCTGACATGGAGGGGACCTACGGACAGTCCCCGTCGGGGCAGGGGGGCACGCGGACGATCCCTGGAACCACCAAGCTAACGATGGATACCCCTCTGTACGTGTTTGGAAAGAATCGCACCCTTGGTGTTACTGTACCGAAACAGTACTTTGTGGTCCCGTCGGACCATATGGCCCGTTCGATTTTGTTTTTCGTCTGCCTCGCTTCAACTTCGCCAACCGTGGTCCTGACCATATCAGGAACGGCACTTTATTTTCGCCTTTCTTTTCAGCCATCAAGAAGCTGGTCGATGTATAGGGACAGTGCCGAGGGAATCGAAGCATGAGTAAAGTTAAGGCTTCAGCCGCACGTCGCTGATGTGACGCCGCTACATGACCACCCCCTTCTGCAGGCACCCGTTCAAGTTGCCATCAGGGGAGTATGTCACATCCCGTGACGTTGTCGACCTGCGGTCCCAGCTCGGGAGAGGCTACAGCTTGGGATCGTTTGACAAGGTTCGACAGGTTGCTTGTCGAAAAGAAATGGACTTACTCTATTGCACCGACACCACTGTCTACGATCCGTTGTGCGTGCGTCAGCCTGTGATCCCCCTAGCCAAGGAATCTCTGAAGAAAAAAAGGCGTGTAGTATTTGTCCAAATGTATGGCACCAAGGAATCCTCGTAAAAAAGGGTTAGTGCAATCGATTTCCACCAGACGCACACTTCACTCGCGACTTTTCCTTCCTTACGGGTCCCAGGTGGAGTGGCCGAGCGAAGTGATCGAAAAGCCGGGGCCTGAGGTCATCTTGAGCGTGATGAACATCAACAAAGCCAGCTTCCTGGGCTCCTTCAGAGTGATCGTGTCTCATGAGGTATGCATACAAACCTCCCGTCATTGTCCACTCAGTCAATCTGTGGGCAAATCCTTCGCCGCGTGCTGGCGACTTTGTGTCTAGGATCGATGCTAGTCGATGTTTCGTCCTCCGATATGTCTCGCGAGCGCCGCTCCGTTGTAATCTTACCAGCTCGTCCGTTGTAGTACTACGGGCGCAGTGGTTTAGGGCGGCAGGACCTTCCAGATGGACACTGCCTCACAGATGGTATCTTGCGTTTCCCGATCCTCCACCGCTGTGCTTGACAGCCGTTTCTCACCTCCCCTGGGGAGAATGCAGCCATTTGACTTGCTCCCTTCCCGATTGTATAGAAACTGGATGTTGAACGAAATACATGGTACTGCCCACATCCCTTTGTCTGTCTTCTGCCTTTCGCTGTCTTCTGCGCGCCTCGTACAGGACCCTGCCAGCGGGACGGTCACTCCGGTTGCTAGCGTCAGCGTGCTGAGCCGCTGGAACCTCAAGAGGTACAGTCAGTCCCCAGAAATGTACGGTGTCGGCCAAGCTGTATGCGCGATGCTTTCTATGTGCGGATTCTAGCCTCGAGGTATTAGCAGGCATTTCTTCCCACAATCGCCAACCTGTCTCGCTACACTTGCACTTGCAACAGTCTTCTTCTGTTTTATAGGTTGTCGCTTCGGAGGCCAACAGATCTTGTGTAACCCAGGCACGGAAAATTTCACGAAGCGGAAGGAAATGACTTCTAACGGGTCGTGTGCTGTGTCTGTCATTCCACGACAATCGATCGTGCTTCTCCCGCTCTCGCGAGCGAAGGTGCAAGAACTGCCAGATTCATCTTTCGAGGGACGTTCACGTCGACATCACCAGCGTCAAACGCCGGTTTTCCCTGCAGGAGGACATCACCAAGCACATCTACACCGTGGACTTCGTAGATCGCAGTTCATCCGATGTGAGACCGAGCGAGCGTTGTATAGGTCGAATCCATACTGTGTTCGGTACGATTTTCAACTGTAGTGGGAAGCGAAGCGACTCTCAACTTTGTCGTGAGTACCCGTGGTGTTGAACCTGTGCTTCAGTGCAGATTGCTGTGAGTATCCATGAGTTCGGCGGTTCTACTGGAGGCAACCGTAGACCAATCAAGATAACTTCCGTGTTCAGGTACATCTTGTGTTTCTGGTGTGTCATGAACAGCCTCAAAGGCAGCTAGATGACAAGAGCCTTTGATTACAGAAGGATGACCACGCTTTTGCGTAGAGGCTTTTCGCGAACATGTGGCGTCCTTGTTAGCTTTCCTCCCCTCCTGTGAACCCCAGCATTTTCCGTGTTGGAAGTGCATGCTATCACAATTCGTCGACGCTCTCCTTCCTGTTTCATCTCTTCCTTTCCACTGACAATTACTCAAAGCGTGTCAAGGTTTACAAGACGGAAGGAAACAATGTTGACATCGGTTTATACCAGGGTTTCGCAAGGGCCAACGAGTACATTTCCATACTATTTACCGCCAGAGATGGCTACAAATGTGTGTGCAACTCTCGCCGCAATGGACTGGGATGTGAAGTCCTTAATGTAGAAAGCACGCGCGATCCTCGGACACCATTAAAATGTCGACACACGGTTTATCTTCGTCACAAGGTGACGTTCGATTCCAAAGGAAGCAGCTATTGGAAATCGGTTCAGGCCCATGCTATAACCATAGATTCGTTTCTATCTCAACATCACCGAGACCAGCCCGTAGGTGGCAAACCCAGGTCGTGGAGGTTGGAGGCTTGTTGGTTTGCTGAGAAAATGCTCTCTTCCGTACATACTGCGGCAACCTCCATAGCTCCTCACCTGGCAAGCAGGCGCTAGCACATGTTCCTTCAAGGCGTGCTGTCCGCGGAAGCCAAGCTGGTGCCATCGACGAGGAACGCGCAACACGTCATACCTCCTAGTATCTCTGGTTTGCTTCTTACGCCCTGTCGGCCCTGCCGCTTGGCGCATTCCAACTGGCTGACCCTTCCCTTGTCTGCCCGCGCGTTCGTTCCCGTCTGCCCCGGCGAATTTTCCAGAAGCGGCGAGTGGTTGCAAGCGGGCGGTACGTAGACGGAGAGTGGAAGCTTCTCGTCGGTCGAGAGAAGGTAGAGTCCGTTCGGATCGAAATAGACGAAAGGGACTAGAGAGCATGCAGAGTTTCGCGCACTTACTAAAGACGGCGGGCATACGTCCAGCAACCCATAATAGCAGGGCCACGTGAATTGATCCAGAAGCGCGGCGCGAAGTGTGGTGATTGGACTCGCTAGAATCTGCTGGTATGAGCGATGCTTTTAGAACGGATTTGAAGCGGGGACCATTTGCAGATGGAAGTATGGATTCGACTTTTCTGCGAGAGGAATTTTGCGGGACGTTGCTCCTTTGTCGCGTTTTTTAAGCTTTGTCCGGGGGTGTACTTTGTTACAATGCGGTCAGTACACAAAACGTACTGTCCGTTTGCTTGTATTTTGGGACCCGGGCTTCCTTCAACGCATACCAGCATTTTTGCTACGAATATTTGGTTCGTACATTTGCATATTTATTTGATTTGTATTTATACGTGCTGTGTTTTGGGATTTACCTCTCTTCACAGATCCGGTCATTGAGCCGAGCATATTTTTTGTCAAGACACACTAAAGGAGGGTAGTGAGCTGGTGCGGGAAGCAAGAAGCTGCATGCGAAGTCATCGCCGCACGCTTTGTGGTAGCACCCTAGACGGTCTCACTTCTCAGTTCCTGATGTGGGGTGATGAGTTGAGCGTATATTGAATGAGACTTACCACTGTTTTTTTGCTGTCCTTTAGCATGGCGCCTTACCTTACCTCAGCATGTTTCGAGTGAGGTAAACCATTGTTTTCTGGTGCGTGAGGTAGAAAGGCGTTAAATAGTAAGCCGTGGGCTTTGCATTTGTTTTCTTGCGCGGGTTAGCTTTTTGAATGGCAGTCATGACTAAACCATACACACTACCACAAACTATTGGCGTGTTGCTATCAGTGGTGGGTTTGACCCTCTCTCTTGTACGTGAGGAGGTGGCGCGCCTGCGGGTCATGCGCCGCGTTGTTTCTGTTGTGTCCTTGTGATCAATCGGGACGGTGGGGGGGGGGAGTTGCTGCTTTTCACTGGCGCTTGTGGAGCCCTTCTCGTTTGTCAAACAAGGTGCCAAAGAAAAGCAGGGGGGTGGAACATGGTTTTGCGCTTGTGCGCTCGTGCTTTGGCTTCAGAGCGAGTGCGAAAACGTCTGGGGGTGTTGTTGGAGTTGGTGTTATCACGAGGTGCTAAAGTGTATCTATATGTGGAGATAGATAGGGCATGGTCCAGGCGAACCGGCCTATGTCCCGGAAAGATAGGGGCTGCAGAAGTTGGAGGGACAGACGGGTAGGCAAAAGCGGGAGCACAAGGCTAAAGACCAACATCCCATGCGCGTATGCCCCGTCATCGGCGCCGTTCGAACGCGTCTTTTTCCTTCGATGGTAGGCGATTGCGAACTCTTCTATACGAAGGCGTTCGAAAAGGTGCACTCTTAGGAAAGTTTTGGTAGACAGCCGTTCAGCTTCGCTCGCAAGGTGCGCATGCGACCTCAAGGGCGTAATTCAGCACCTGTGATCCGTTTGCCTTTCTTGTGGGATGTTTTCTGTGAGTTTCGTGATTGATGTGGTGGCGTGGCCGATACTACGACTTGCATAGATGGGGGTGGCTTGCTTTCGTGCTCTGGTTAGAAATTTTGTATCTGCAAGACGCGCCCAGAGTCAGGCGGCTCTATTTCCTAACTCCATGGATGGATTTGATCCAATCTACTGTAGGGGAAGGTTTGTACGGGTGCGTGTCGTGTTATTTTTATCCAAACCGGTAGCGATGAAAGTTCCACGGATGGACTTTTCTAAACCCGGGAAGGTTGTACTATCTTGCCGAATGCAGTTCCTGGCGATAATCCTGGGAGCTGGGTCTGTAAGCGTGCAGCTTACGCTTCCCTCCCGGCACGGGATTCCTGTCATTGCCCCTCCATGTGAATGGTTGGGATATTTACCAACAAGAAGGCTCTCATCGACCCCACTTGAAGCATTTTCCTATCGTTCGCTCTTCTCAGCAGTTTTTCCAAACACAAGGCAGATGTTTCGTTTGGTCCGTCTCCGTGTGTTGTCTCGGACGTATCGTGCACCCACTCCACTGTGTCATACCCCTAGGGATTAGCGTGCTATTCTTACTGACGAGCCTTGTCTTAACGAGCGGCATGCCTAGGGCAGCCACGCCCCTCTCTCCAAGATACGGGTCTTCTTCTTGCGGTCTGTCACACACGGAAGCATAGGGACCTCCTTCCCGGGTATGCATAAAGAGTGGTGTCTTCTGTTTCTCGTCTTGCTGCAATTATTGCGGTTGCGGTTGGTAAGACAAGCCGTTTCCTGACCTCTCATCAATTCGCCGAACAAGACCATCCTATGCCTAATGCCCAGTTATTGATACCACGTGGACCATCCGCAAATCGACGCTCTCAAACTGCAGTTGTTGTTGGTGCCTTGACATTGAAAATCTTTCCGAGCATGCTCAGTACCTTAAACATCCGTACCGATCTAACTGACGCGGACGCCTTCCGCGGTCACGGGCCAACTACCCAAAAGCAGTGCACTCTTCTGAATATATATTATATTGTACATGGACTAGTAATCATCAAGCGGGTACCAGATCACAATAAAATACTAGCAGAAAAACGAACCCGGAAACATAGTAAGACATATAGGAAGGTCCTATCCAGAGCAAGGAGAGAGAGAGAGAGAGAGAGAGAGAGGAGATATCGCTCCCACTCGGCCCGCGATGCCAAGCAATACCATCAAAGGCCAAAGATTACGAGTCAAGACCATACCAGAATATGAAGAGTCGCTGCCTTTATCCATACGCCAGAGTGTATTCGCCACGAGCGCTACACCAGCCAAGCCTTTCCCAACACGTACACACAAAAACGTGGTGGTTCTAAGATCACACCTGCCATGCATGCCCTACTTCCACTCGGACAACCGAAAAAGCTGCATGTCCTCCATCCCCTATGTGCCGATCTACAGTACTACATGCTAGGATCTCGCCGGCCAGGCTCATCCCGGCGGGTCAGAACAGAGTAAACCGATAGTCCAAGGGTCTACGTAAAAAGGTCCCGCACACCTACCATAACTATAGTCTATTAGGTACCCCCCAGGGCCGAAAAGATCATCGGTTTTTCACCTATTATTGGGCTTCGAGCACATTTCACGCAGCAAGCCGCTTATGGAGGGACACATCGTGCGCTACGAGGGACGACGGTTCACACATACCTTGAGTGGGTTAGGTACTCTCTCGATGTTCTACACACCCGTTTCAGGTAATCATGGCTTAGGGGATAGGGTTCCAGGATAATAACAGCGTTTTCCCCGCGCGGGTCTTACGTTTTTTATAGGAAATATAATTAGAATACCATTCCCTCCCCCCCCCCGAAAACATCCCAAAGGAGAAAATGGGTACTCGGTACAAAGCTGTGCAAGAGAGGTTTTTCGTGCAACCGTGGATAGTTTAGTCTAAAACGCACACAATGACCCATACTAACGTATCGCATCGGGGGCATAATCGGGAGGGGCTTAGCGATACTAATGCTCGATACAGATTTTACTCGCACAATCTCTCCTGCTCGTCCCTGAGCAAGACAACAAAGACAATTCCTCAGCGCAGCACAGTGCATCCACTATGACATCAGATCTAGGAGAAGGTTAGCCCCTTCTTCGACAAAGTCACCGAGCACCAGGGTCGACAGCAGAGCAGCCGGTTGTTGGATGAGGGCTTCGACCAGAAGAGCCAGTACGCAGGTAGTCAGCCAATCGGTCGAGGTAGACCTGCGACGGCGACGGTTGCAAGTGCGGCCCATCATACGCGAAAGCATGTGCACATTGAGAACCTTAGGGTAAAGAAACGACCCCCTCCACATTGCGTACAATGAATGGATGTTTCCCTGTACCCACGATTTTGTCTATAAATAACAATCAATGTAAGTCAAGACCTCTGTGTACGTATTCGGTGAACTTCAGACACGAAAACCCACACGAAGCGCAGACATGTTTTCATGCCACGGAGCAAACCATACCCTTGGCAATGCGCACTTTTTCGAGGAATGGACTTTGCGCAGACATGGCTGACGTGGCGGCACGAAGTGCCACATTCCTAAGAAAGGAACGTACCGATCGAACTTGGCAGCGAACACCATGTTGGTGTAGGTCAGACACAGGATTGTCGTGGCCACGGTCCCCTGTGCAAGGAAATACATCCCACGTCGTTGCCCCCGACAATCATGTAACCACGTGCGAAATTCCAGCGCCCTGGCCGCCCTGTCGAGCGCATGGTGCACCCTGTCGGGCACAAAAACCGCACAGCATCGATAACGGTGCATATGACTGTGCCGCATGGAATGGTCTCGCACGTGTAAAGGAACCTTGTGAAGGACCTTTGTTCAGGTTTCACAGTAGTAGTGCGTCGTGGAGCGAAGAGTGCGGCAGGTGGGCAGACACGAGAAGCCCGCGTCGATTTTCCTTCACTTCGTGGAGACCCGGCTGTACTTGAGCTCTTCAACAACTTCAAATCAACCTCGGCATGATCGGATTCAGAAGTTTCAGAAGTTTGACTGGTTTACCCATGCACATTTGCTAATGGCGGCACAAGTATGCAACATGCCTTGAGTCCTACGCTAACAAGGCGCACATACGTGTCTGTTGACTGTAGGAGGCAGCAGTGCACTGTCGCGGTACGCAATTAAGCCGACACGTATGCCACGGTTTTGCACCTGAAGCAGCACTGGATCGTTTCCGCGGCTTTGTGCATTTCCCTCGTTGGGTTCGACCATGCTGCTACGAGGTCGCCTTCGATCAAGTCGCTCAGTATCTCCTCGTATTTCCGCTGTATTCCGACCAAGTAAGCACCGACGAGGGTGATAACCGCACCAAGCACCGCCCCTGCAACGACATGGAGGCACCACAAGGCAGCGAGTTGTACTTAAAACAAAGAATTATTTGTGGGGTTCAAGTCTATACGCGCTGCGCAACATGTGGGAGACAAAGAGTAAAAGTTGATTGGTCCCGAGACGAAGTCGACGTGTATGTATGTAGCGTAACCTTCGAGTCTACATTACTTGAGAACACCATTATTAGGGTAGGTTAGCCTGTGACCACGGGAATCGACCGCGTCATGTATTAGATCAGTACGGACAGATGAAGGTAAACGGGTAGAGACATCGGAACGGGATTCAATGTCAAGATAACAACAACCCATCTCTCTATGGTTCACCTGCTGCAATAAAAACGCTCGAGCCGAGCAGAAGCACGCCGCACAGCGCCATGCCTGGGGCCACAACGCCTTGGAACGCTGTTGCTTTCCGCATTGTACGTGCACTACGACTCATAACTGAGAAAGCAGACACCATACACAGAACAGAGCTAGCCAGGCTCAGCGATGTGACCATGTTGTGCAAAACCGCGTATTCGTCTCCCCCGTCTGCCTCAGCTTCCCGCGAAACGCTTAGCACCTGTCGGTTGTGGAGGGCACGAGCGCGGGGACGGGTCTGTTGGCAGAAAAGACACGTGATGGTGACCCGCCTCCTAGATTGTGCTTATCTTTCAACGGGTGCAACAGGGCCAACGAGGAATGCCAGAGGAGTAGGGCAGAGCGGGCAGGCTCTAAAAAGATCGACCATCGTTGAGCATTGCCTCGCAGGGGTTGGCGAAGCTCGGTTGGCAGCTCACCTCAGAAACGAGCATCGCCAGCAAAATGGGCAGAGGGACGTAGACGAGAAGGAGCGCCTTCTGCATCTCTACCACGTCCAGGTACGCCGCCGTTTCCACCACCGCCGCGTTAGGCTTCGGCTTGAGGAACGGAGACGCTGTGCCTTGCGCTTCTATCGCGGTGAACATTCTGCTGGGGATGAGAATGATGATATGCACTTGAGCAACAGTCGCCGGAAAAACGTTAAAATTGCATGACCACATGTTGCCCATCTTATGTACAAGCCACCAACGAAACTCGGAAAAAAATATCTCACTCATCATCTCTTTAGTGTATGGCGCTGGCATCTGCCACATGGGCTGAGTCTAATAGAGCGTAGGGGGCTTAACGTTAACAATCAGGCGTTTGTCGTCAATATCGCTAATTGAAAAAAACGAGCACCACTGACCTCCTGCAGTGGACTACTTCAGATTTTCGCGGTCTTACAAAAAATTAATGGTGGCACCCGTGGCGCTCTGAGGTGTGGCTGTTTTTAACGCACTCTCTGACTCGGAGATGACTAGCGATTTCGAATGGTGTCCACATGTGCTGGGTACGATTATCGACATACCTGATGGGCGATGCCTTGCGGGGGGGGCGATGTTGCTCTTGGAAGCCAACCCGACGCGTGGCATCCCCTGGCCACGTGGAAAAGTAGTCGCATGTCAAGGGCGGATCGAGAGAAACAGGTTAAGGAAGATCCACGGCAACAATAATGTCCCCGTGTACAACACAAGTACATGTGCGTACGTAAAAATCGATACGAACCATGTGAAACACCGTCTGGAACGTCTTCGTGGCGAGTTTCCGAGGTGAGATCATTCAAGCTGCTGATGATGCGGAGGAACGAGTTTTGTGAGTATGGTGCGAGGTATACTAAAAACCATGCCCGGTCTACCCGCTCACCTTGCTGAAGGGTTGCTAGGAAGCCATCGTCCGTTTTCTCCTGCTCAACTTGACGTCGGTCAGTACGGTATTCAGCTGTGCGTTCAGGTTGTTCCTCCAGAGAAACAGGCCTCTGAAGCGTTTGTGACGCAGGTGGGGTGTTGGCAACCCGCAGGAGGGCGGGAAAAACAACCCCGGCCGGCAGCATGAAGAGTGCGCTCACTACCGCCATCTCTACCTGCGCGTGATGGAAACAGGCAAAAGGTTGGCGTTTGTGCAAGGCATTTGCGCGCAGAAAGTGGATATGGTCGTGGTACTCTCAATTATGAGTGCTTGCGAGACAACCACTGGCACTGACGAGCAGCGGAGGATAGGAAATAGTATTGCTGCGTGCTTCGAAGATTGAAGGGGGGGAGAAGATTGCATTCGAGAAAGGGGGGACAGGTGCTGGCAAAATGGAAGAACGACAGAGCGATATCGCCTTGCCTTTTCCCTCACGCCAAACTGGCTCTTGCCGTAGAAAAGAGCCTGGAGAACGATGGCGCTCATCCAATCAGTCAACAGAAGCACCAGGTGCTGCGGCCTGTAATGGGGGCGACAGTCAGAATCAGCACGTGAGAGAACCTGAGACCATTGATCGGAAATGATCCCCCAGCCACAAAAGCAACGGGTGGTCCTTCCGCGGGGTCGGCCCAGGCCCCCAAGTCGCTGACCGACAAAAAAAACAGCTAACCTACAGGTTTCCTGTAGACCGTTTGCAAGGTTGGATTTATTGGCCGTCCTGCTGGCCTAGTCAATGTTACTGGCCGTTTGGCCATCAACTCATTCATGAATTTCCACCAGTCAATCTCGTCTGTGCCGGCCTACCTTGTGAGAAGCGTTCGTTTAAAGTGGGCTGTCGGGGAGCCGCTGAGATGTCGCCACGAGTGGTTGAATAGGAGGCTTTCTACCACCACCTGCGCAAACCCGTGGCGGCGTATCGGAAAGCATGTTAAATAGTGCCGATAAATTTTCAAATGTGCCGGCCAGCCGTGTATTTTTGTCTTCGCCGTATGGTGAACGCAACGGAGAGGCCAGCTTGAAACGACAGGTAACACCAAGTTTTGGAATGCCTCCAAAAATATCCGGTGGCAGTGGATTCACGGCGTCTCTTGTAGTTGAGCGACACCCGAAGCAAAGTTTGTGATGGCTGGAAACCTCATGCGACCGTTTGGGTAGCTAAATAGTATACTACCAATCGCCGTCCATACATCAGCATCGGCGTCAAACACGAACCGTGTCTTGATTTCTTCCTACATACCTTGATCGACGTTCAGAGCAAAGCATGTTGTTGTGTGCCTTGACGTGGTTACGTGAACGTAACGACTATGTGGCCGTGCGTCGCCGTGCTCCCTCCAAACTGTTTGTACCCGCTCACCTTGCCCATTGCTTTCTCTTTGCGTTGGACGGAAATCTGATGATAGCCAAAGTAGTCACTTGCGTGGGACTGACTTTTCACCAACGTTTCACGCGAAGCCTTCGCTCGCTCTGCCACCTGGTCAAAACCGGGTCATGTGAAAGACGTGATTTCGCTTGATGTTTTCCCACCCGCACCGTTTGCCTTCTTCAGACTCAAAGATCCATACGGTCTCGAACTGTTATGCACGGCCTGCTACCACTAGACGTGTCGACTATTCTGCATCTCGGCGTAGCGGGGGTGTCAGTCTCCGCCCTCGGAAAAATTACACGCCTACAGCAACGAACCATCGGTATATACCGCCGTCAGGGTGCTCGCAGAGAGGGCATTGCTCCCTCAGCGAACCGGGATCTTACCCGTTTCTTGAGCGGGCGAACTTCTCGCCGGCTCTTCCCACGTGCTAAGTACGTGTCCCGAAGCGCCTCGACGTGCTCTCGTTGCTGGTCCATCCCAGCGTCCTGTTGCACGTGTGAGAACGTTAACGTCCTCGAATAACAGCGAGTGAACGGACGTCCGCTCTCTACACGAAATAATCCGACCTCCGGTAACTACACGGATGATGTAACGAAGAAGGGAATTCAGTCACACATGGACTTCACACGAGCAAGACACGGGCGTAGACAATGCGTTCGCACCTTCAAAGCAAACCACGTCGCAGGGCCGAGAAGAACTGCTGCAACGCAGCCCAAGAACAGCAGGGCTTCCCAGCTTTCCGCCCCGTACTGCCAAGACAAGAATGGGCCGATGCTCTCCATCGTAAGTGTTCCAGGCTTGGATTGACAAAGGCTCGGAAAGCACCTACACCCTATTGTCTGGACTTGTTCGACAGAGGGTTCTTTACGCGGCAGGCGACACCTGTGCTCGGATTTCGCGTACATTTTGATTTCACCAACGCCTAAGAAAGTGATCCAGGGCGAAAAGAGAGCCGGATGTTCGACGGGCGAGAAAGACCACTACCACCAGACCACTCCGTCAACATGCTGCACAATATCTACAACGGATGACCGCTTCCTAACAGAAGTGTGAATTATACGAAGAAAAGGCACATGTCCACCTGGTTGCGGTGCGTACGACCATGCAATATTAGTTGGGTTGCTCTATCTTGGCAAATTCAGGTTAATCGTAGTGCCCTTGGTTCACCTCTGCCAGTATGCTGAAGTCGGTGAGATCGGCTGTGCTCCACGTCGGGGTCGTCGAGTCCTCGCGGCCTGCAAACGCGCTGAGGTGGAACGTCGCACATTCAAGCACGACGGAGTGTGTGTTGTCCAGAGCCGCGCCGAGCGCGGCCAGTACCATACCGTCCGTCTTCCAATCGCCACTATCTTCTGACCAGTAGGCGCAGCCAACGTGGCTTAACGAGTTTTCGCCTTCAACCTCTGGGCCAGTCGACAGAGTCTCCTGCCCCACATGCGCGCAGCGATCAGCGAGGACGATAATCAAGGCCAACCGTTCCCACTTTTGTCGATAATTGGACTGAACGGCAGCAATTCATGCTTTTCGAGTCACCTTGCTGTCACTTACAGTGGTGGTCCCGACATACCGCGGTCCCGAGTAGTGCGGGTCCCGCCCGATACACCGCTGTAAAATCGCTTGTCAAAAGGATTTGGCTCTGCACGATACTAAAAAGCTATATATTCCCCAACACTCAATATTGCGGTGTACCGATATTTCGTGGTGAATTCTGCCTGTCACTACACCGCGGTATATCGGGACCACGACCGTATTCTATTCGCCTTTGAAGAGAATCCCATCCCACGCGACAGCATCGCAAATTCATGAATATATATTGACTGTAAGGGTGTTGCCACTGAATAAAAATACGAACAAATCAATTGAATACGATGTACAGCACAATCGGGTCAGCGAATGGAGCACCTTCCAATTCTTACCGGAAGGGCCATGGACACCCCGACGGGTCTAGGAAATTGATACTCTGGTGCCCCAGTCGAGTCCCATGCGTCGATGACGGTCACACCATCAAGCCCTATTCATGGAAGGTAGGAACACGAAGTGCACACGATGAATTGTATGTCAGTTCCTGTCTCACAGTGCCCACCTGGCAGAAAGTGGAGTTCGGCGTATCGTAACAGACTCATGTTCACGATTGCCTCGTCCGTAGTGAGCATCTTGCCAAACAGCCCGATGGAATAGATAGATGAAGCAGCGTACGATGCGTGACATGTTCTCTTCAGACAATGGCTCCACCCGCAGACAATGGTTCCGCCCACAAATCCGCAGCAGTTCGAACTCCTGTTTTGGACCCCATTTGGGTATGCGGGGCGAAACGAAGAGGTGTTTCTCCACATGCAACCCCTGCAAACGGCATAGATCATACAGCGAGTAGCTGAAGCGCCGAATCATGTCCCTCCAAGCCCACTTCAACTACTACATGTTTTCTCTCCGCGATGGTTGCGAGTTTATGGCCGAGGTTAACTGTGGTGACATCATCAAAGCACGCGTGAAGCGCGGTCTCGCACCTGAAGTTGTGGAATTGAATACTGCCACCGCAAAGGTTCGGGTATTGTCAAGGTCTTCGTTGGAATCCACGGCGCTGTCCCAAGCATCAAACTCCACCTGTGCTCCGAAACCTCCAGCAGATATGGTTGTTGCCGACATATCAATCGGATGTGCTCTGGCAGGCTGAGAACGCCATGGAAGACAGGGTACATCGTTGGGGTGCCCTCGCATTATTGTTGAGCATTGCACGAGTTGCTTGGAGTGGACACGATGAGCAACATGCAGTTCACTTGAATCTCCTCCAAAAGGATTTTGACACATGTTTGCAAAAAAGTACATGTGTAAGTCTTTGGTGAGTTGCGTAATGATGTTACGGCCCCTACTTTCACAACATACGGACATATCTGGCGAGGAAGTATGGTGGGGGTTTCCCTTCGGTTATGATGCACACGGACACAATTTGACACCATTACGGTATTTGCGGGACGTGTACATCACTTTTGCATCTCTACCGCGGCTCGCCACGAAATCCCGCCATTTGGTGACCCCACCCCAGAGACCACACACCTGCATGGCTAAATCTCCCGCGCTTATCTCGTCCAGTTCTTCTCCCGCTTCGGCATCAGTGGCCATCGCGAGGCCCACTTCAGCGAGAACGGCGAGGCTATCTTCTTTCCGGAGGAGGGCTGTATCCGAGGTGACAGCTGTTGATGCCGACGAGGGTACCGAAGGCGACTGGCCGACAAAGAGCACCGATAGCATCTGCGGGGATGGCACGTTCAACAACCCGTCGGCCAACCACGGTACAGAGTGATGGATCTATGTCGGAAGAAAAGAGGAGCTTCGCGCGTCTGTTAAGATCAGTACGTCAAGCACTATTGGCTTACAACGCAGCGTCTAAACTTTCAATTTTCGACCTCAGCCATGGATGCCGTGGTGATTGCGGGCACTCACCGACACAAGCGCAAGGGCAGAAGCGTCATCCAGAGTTTCTCCCAGTTCGATCGCGGTCTCCGCCATGTCTCTAACAGCCTCGGTCACTTCAGCCAGCGTCAGATCCGACAGGACGCCGTCATCCTGTGACGGACATCGGAGACGCATGGTGCCAAATATGATGTGTCCAGTTTGTGCTTCGAACGCATGCCCAACTCGCGGGGGGCGAGCCGCTCTGACGTAACGATATTCGGAGAACGCGATCGACATGCAAGATGCGATGGCCATCGTGCCTCGGCCGCGGAATTGAATGAGTGGTCGAACTCGAGTACTGGTTCGGATAACGCACAGGCATGAAGATCGTGTTTTGGTGGTGAATGGTCTTGCAACCAGCTGACACTACCGCAGTTGCAACTCACAGCAAATGAGACGAGAGCTCCCGCAAGAGTCTGAGACCCTGCCACAACACTGCTCGATGATGTCTCCAGAGACAAATATGCGTCCACAATGAGGCCCACGAGATTTTCCTGTCGGGCGCATGTGAGGTTTGAGCACGACATGAATTAGCATTGAAAGCACGCCGAGGGATCCAGGATGGCAGTTTCCCTTCCTACTTTTCCAAAAAGTTGTTTCCCCTTGCCAACATACATTAGTGGAGGTTATGCAGTCAATTGGCATCCAGGGGTCCAGATCTGATCCCTGGTGGGCTGACATCGACCGGAAATCAGATGCCGCGTAATGTTTGCTCGGAGATTCCTGCGATGAATAACTGGAAAATTAATGCTAAAGCATGGCGCGGGACCAACTGGCGCGGGACCATCGTCTGTATGGGTTCATATCAAGACGTATTTTTCGCGACCGACAATGTTCGCTCCCACACCCTCTCCTCGCTTCCTTGCCGACGCTTTGAATGATTTCACCGAGTGTGTCGTACCGAATGTGTATAAAAGTCCGAAATAAACGTCCCCCACCTGAAGGGCCACAATAGCCTCGATATCGCTCGCATTTGTTCGTGGCGCATCCAACAGAAGCGCCGTGGCGACCCGCGCATCACGGAGAGTATCCTCTGGATATGCCAAAGACTCGTTTCCGCAAGGATCGGTAGGAAAACACGTCAGGGCGTATGCCAGCGACAGAACCGAAGCCTGCACGTCGCCGTCAGCGGTACAACGTTGTTAGGCGAAGGTCCGAGGAGGTGCCTTTGACGAGGCAAACAGTGGGTAAACCATGAGGTTATCGCCTCCCGCAACCTTACACCGTTCCTGAATTGCTACACTACGTTTTGTGAAACTCAGAACACTCTCGCACTTAGAGGCCGCTGGCTCTATCCATTTGAATCCGGTCTCCTTCATCACAAAACCCTCCAAAATATCATCCCGCCTATATTATCGTATTTGTTACCCAATCTCGCCTGCTCTGGAGGAGTAGATGCGATGATCATTGGTGTGCCATCGGCTCCAAGATTTGTTGAAGCTGTCGATCCGAGGGAGTCGGAGACAGACACCAGGATCGTGACATTGTACCCATCGTCCGCCAAGCCGGACGGGATCTTGGTGCGCAGGGTGGGCGATGCTGACCAAGATGAAGACAACCGGTTCACTAGCACCGATTCACTATGTAGAAGGAACAGGTATGACGGACGGGAGCGTTGGGTAGCACGGGGCGTGACCTCAGGCATAAGGGTTCCATTTTCAACCCAGGTTCACTTTTTTTCTCATTTTCTCGTCCGGTCGTACTAGTGCGTCAATGGGTCAATAGCCGGAACGGAACACTGCCGCGCAGACATTCTTAGGGGCACTGACACCGTGTGGGTGTGTCAGGGGTTCAATTAAACGATGACTACCTCCGTGCAGATGGCGATGAGCAACAACCGAAAACACAAACCAACATTTGGACCCATCGGGTTCAGGAGACAAGGTACCTCGCAATCGTTGCCACTTGTTGGTATCCATGCACGAACCCAAAGGAGTGCGTGAACGGAAGATCGTCCACGTCATCCGTCCACCCTACGCTCTGGAGACGGACGCCATCGACGCCGGCGGTCGCCGATGAGGTGTTGGATTCCACGTGGCCCCCAGCGGGGGGGGCGTTGGTCTCGAACGAAAACTCTGTTTCGGCGCACGTAGGAAACAAACGCTTGAGAGCAAAATCACTGGCGGGCATCATGGGGAAGTACTGTATTCCATTACGGCCGCGTTGCAAAGTGAGTCAGAGAACCAATAATTAGGAAGTGGGTTCTTAATCGCCCTCCTCACGCAGTGTCAGGCCCGACATGACAACTTCAGCTCCGTCAAGAGACTCTCTGAAACAAAGGGCGACCATGTTCAGGCAAACATGATAAATTGGGGCGCTTACCTGCATAACCTTCCTGCCCGGATGTGTCGGTTGCAGATAGGGAGAACGTGTACGTCCGCCCCGCGCCAAGGACTCCTTTTCGGACAACGAGCACCCGATCGCTCGTGGTGGTGCTGAATACATCGTCCCACCCATTGCTCAAGTCGACGTTTCCGCTCTCCTGTCGACAGTTCGAGCAGTTGGGAAGAGTATCAGAGTTTAGGCCTGCACCTCCTACGCACAATACGCTGATGGGTCACGTACAGTTCAGATTCATATCCCCTTCTTCGTGGACATTTTAGCAAGTTCCACCGCGCGCGGGGGATGCTCTTTTCTTACCGGTTTCCACTCTAGCTTGAACAGCGACGAGGTCGAGGAGCTGCACAGCTCCTCTGCAGATGGGGAGGCGCACCCCTGTAGGACAACTTTTTCCGAAGGGTTGTATTTGCGGAGAATGGCCTGACGCACGCAACGAAGACAAACACACGGTACACGCAAGAGTGAGGTTTCGCCAAGTGATGTCGTTCGGCTGTGAATATGCTCCTCGCACAGCACATGCCGACACGGTATGGTCTACGATACTTGGTAACCCTGTGTAGCTTTTGCCTGAAGGTCAGTCCTTCAATGCAGAGAAGGTAAACGGAGAGCCAACCTTAGGAGAAACGGTGACGTGCGGAAGAGTTCCCTCGAACGTGGAAACAGTGCATGCAGTGTCGTCGCTTCTGAGCTCTACCGAGTCTTGAAAGACAGTCACGCCGAACTTGTATTCCACACCTGCGAAGGGGAGTGGACAACAGGAGCTCGTTTAATTCAGCGTCAAAGGTCTGTCGTCCTTAGCACGATAGATGGACGAAATAAATCAGGTCGAGGCTATTAGTACCTAACTAAGCGGCGAAGACCTTTCGGTGCATGACCATATGGCCGTCGGACCTACCGATTGGAAGGATACCCGCAGATATTGTCAGTAGTCCTCCGCTTGAGAGTGAGTCAATATCCAACAGCTCCGTGCTCGGAGATGTGCAATCTTCTCCGACGTCGTCAGTACAATTCCATCTGAACTGTAAGGGGGATTCGTCCAATTGGTCGTCATCCACCGACACGGACGCGTTCAAGTAAAGGTCCTGAAACACACCGACAAGAACATGCACAGCGAACGAGAGGAGATTTTGAGCTTGATGGCGGAGCGATCATGTAGTTTGATCTGCACAGCCCTATCCACCCCATGTATCAACAATCTAGGACCCACCAGCAGCCAACGTTTGATAACACAATTTTGAAATGAAGAAGGAATGTTGCAATATATTTTCCCTGCATACGACAAGGGCACTTGGTGTTGAAGGAAGTGTTTCTCCCACCAAGATCAAATCAAGTTTCAAATATTACTTGGTCGTGACCCGCGCGTCTTTTGTCTATGGCAAAACCACTATCGACTTGGATGATGGTGTCCTCGAGTGTAGCCTAACGGTTGCAATATCGGTAAAGAAGTGAAGATTCAAGCATGCACCAAGTTGATCTCAGGCACGATATCAACCTCTTTGGAATATTACCTGCATGACGCCAACCCTCCTCGTTGTCCCACCGAAGATGTGGGCGATTAGTGCTCCACTGATAACCTCAACTGTCGGGGCGAAGGGTTAGGGAACGCAGCCAGTTTCGTTTCAGTGGCTACCAGAGAATGATGAATGCAACACAGATCCATCAATACATCGATGGGAACGGGTCGTCTTCTTTCGACATGCACAAGCTAGAGGCGGTAAGCTGATGTGTAAATGGAATGTGGTGATCGCATGACGTTGGGAGCACCTGTCGCAGTAGCCGAGGTAGTGCTCGGCGTGCTGCCTGCAACGGTCACCCTGAAGACGTAGATGCTGCCGGCGTGTCCCAACGAATATGCGGGAAGCTTGAGGACGCTGGGATTTCTCCCCTTGGTCAGCGTGACTGGTGGAAAGTCTTCCGTGGCACTGTATTCTGAAGCCAGGGTCCATGTGTAAGTAACATTGTCGTCTTGAGAACGAGGCGACGTTACCTCGGTGCGGACGGTAAGTGGAAGCCCACGCCACTGCTTCCAAGATGCAGATCCCGCAATCTGCAGGGAGCAACACAGCACCGCGGTTGACGTCGGCGGCACAAGCGTGGCAGGGTGAACTGATGCTGTAGGTGTGTTGTGGCCAACAACAACACTCGGCATACTACTCCAACATCGTGCAGTGGGATGGTTGCCACAGATTTCATTCCCTACGATTAGATGCGAAGATCAGAAGCAGGGAGTCAATGCAAGCAGTTTTTCAGTTCTGCAAGTCAAGGGAAGGATCGACGTGTTTCCTGGACACCCAGTCCTAGGGCAATAATTGGCAAGTCCAACATTGTTTTTGTGCTTACCTTCAGCGCGGGAAGGGCATCAGTAGACTTGAATACCTCTACGATAGCATCGCTCCACGATCCAAGCCCCGTCGTCACGCGGAGGCTGAACCAGTATGTAGAACCTTCACCCAAGCTTGCGCTCGGCAGCGTGACAACCAACCCATTTTGAGCGCCGGCCTGGAGATCAAGCAGGTCATTCACGGCGCGCATGGGTGAGCGAATGGTTCCCACGGTGCGGGGAACAAAGGCGGAGCGGATGCTGCTTTCGGCAGTGCGAGGGCAAACGGTTGCCCTTATCCCTCGTTGGGCACCGCGAGGAAAAAATATCTGTACCATAGCTTGCACGGCATCGTGCCGTCGATGGCACGCGCCATGTCAACAGACCATGGCGCTGAGGACACTATCATAGCGTAAGACGAACGTAGAGTAACCCGCCTGGTTAAGAACCGTTCTTGCGTCGGCAAGGTCGAAGGATTGATTGCCATCCACGATCCCAACGGTCCAGTTGCAAGTGAAGCCTGGGTTGCACACGGGAATATCGCAGCACAGTCGTTAGCGGTGGGGCCGTTAGCGTGGGGAAGACAACGCGCGCATTTCGGGAATAGACTGTAACGCACGGCATCAAACAATGGGAGAGCGAGCCTCAGCAGCTTTCAAATATGCGATCGACCGTGTCTCCGCGGCACGATTGAAGGGGTGCCCACATCGGTCAACCATCCTCGGACACAGGAGGTGCCAGATCCCGCAGACAACAGAACCAAGGCAAGGATCTCCACGCCGAATCAGGAGGAAAAGATTCCCCAAACCTAGATAACTTGTGACTGCTTCAACAACGCGTGGCCCTGCGCCTTCGCCCCTCTCCCTCCGCAATTGGCAGGTGAGCGGCGAAAATAACTGATGAGTACCGGGTCGACCGTCGTTCCAACATGCCAGGAGAGTTTAATTTCTCCGTGGCCACGCACGAGTTCGAAAACCTGCGGTCTTCGGAGCAGATACCGCATTTTTCTTGAACACTCGCAGAACGCCATGACGGCACGACCCTTCTCTGACCTTACGGCACATCAGTCTCCACTGTTGCACATCAGGCATACCTGTTGAAGGGAAGATCGCGATTCCCTCCAAGATCAAGTCGTCGCAGCAACCCACAACTTCCGGAGCGCTGATATCAACGACTGGTGGATTCGGCTCACTTGCGGGGCCAACCACGACACAACCAGCGGCCGAGGAGAGAAAGGCCCCGATCTAAAACGACAAAAGCATCCACGGGTAGAAACAGACGGGTTGAACTAGGTGGCCTAAGCAAGCTCCCGTGCGCGTGAACGAATCTACTAGAGAACATATCTACTTTCCATGACGGCTAGCATGGCAATAACGGCCGAATGCAGTAAATTTGGGGATCGTTGCCCGAGCTCTTATGGTTAGGGAGCTTTGTCACCGCACCTCGGTGCGAGCTATTCCATCCAACAAGGAAATAGATGTGCCGTCGCCGTCGGTGCAGTTTGAATAGCTCGAGGGCCGAATAGTGTAGTCGAATCCCAGCTCAACCTGAACACGTGTGCAAACCGTTCACAATCATTTCGAAGGCAAGGGGCTTCAGTTGCACACAACAGCCATGGGAACACCCCTACAAAAGGTCTCAAAGCGTATGTTGAGCAGCCTGACAAGCGCACTGCAGACTTCTATCGACCACCGCGTGTTACGGCGTCAATACTCCATTTCAAAACGTGACCGACAAATCGAAGTAGTGGGTTCGACACGAAATGAAAGGTATCGACCACCGGCCGCGGACATGACATCACTTTACCGTTAGGATCGAGGAGGACGTAAATTGACTTGCGCAGCCAACGCCCAACGTAGCCGCAGAAGCTTCGGAGAAAGCTTCCCCGCAAGGCACGACAGCATAGCTGCCGTTAATGTCTTGAGAAGAAGCACTTCCTTCGAATTGAATCAGAACCTGCGAACGAACGAGAGCCAGAGAGTACACACCGTGAGTTTCAGCCCTCTGCACAAACACCGCCTGGTCAAGACTTGAACGCTGGCGGCAAGCGTCCGCTCTCAGCTCCTACTTGCCTGTGCTCCCTCATGGAACAATTTCGACATTTTTGCATGAATGCTCGGAGCATTTTGGCGGACACCGGCTGCCAAAGGATGTGTGCAACTCACACGGAAGTTTCGGTGGCAAACCCACCTGTTGTCCCGTGTCAGAAAACCATGCAGACGACAGCTCTGGCGGGGGCGTGCGCGCCTGGACGACCACCGACCCTAGCAGTTCATCGGTGTATACACACAGATAGCGGGGGGAACAAAGTAAATTGAGCTTAGTTCTAAAGGTGATCGGCCCATTTCCAGCGCGCTATCGGAATGCGTCGACGATACATCATTGATTGGGTCGGCCAAGCGAGTTATTTCTCCGCCTGTAATTATGGGCAGACTAGTGTGTACTTAACCGACCTACAACTTGTATATCTCGTCACTCGCATGCAACGGTCTCAACCATTTTCCACCAATCTCCTCGTTCTTGCCTGTAGCATAGTTGGTGCAGCCGGAACAGCCGGCAATGTATTCGCCAGTTGGGTTGAGCGTGATCGTCGATCCTTCGCCTACGGAGTAGCCTGGGTACATCAACGGCACCCGAGATGGATCTTGATATTTTCCATTCTTACAACGTCTTTCTTGGGGATGGCTACGCGAGAGACATATCCGGTACCATGCAAAAGCAGGCCTAGAAGCCACATCATAGCCGTGAGCCACTTCCTAGCGGTGAGTAACATTTATTCGTCAAGGAGTGATGCCGGGGCGAACCATGAAATGCTTCCTCTTGACAACACCGAGGGTATGAGGCTGACGAGGTAAGAAGCCACGTGGGATAAATCCTCCCAACTATTCTTACCTGTGCCGAAAATAATCGTTACCGTGCTTTCATCCTTCCAAGAGCACGATGGCGCGCTGCCTAGGCTCGCCACGGTGTCGCCATTGAGCAAATTGTCCACGCTGCACGCCGACCCAAAACAGCGTGTGCCGTAGCACCACAGCCCTTTTCAAGCAACGGAAGCGACAGGCCATTCATCACATGTTGGTCTATTCCGGAGTTTTTCACGGCATTTCAGGCTTTCGCTAGCGATTTCATCTGTGCGAAGGTTGTCTACATCGTAGTCATGCCGGAGTAGTGCAAACCGTGCCCAATGGTGTGGAATGGGCGACCTAGAGGATGCCTCCACCGGTTTGACACGCCAAATTTTGTTGCATGGCATCCTATTCATGAAAGGCATGCACACCCCGACTCGCGATACTCCAAAGTTACGCAGCACGGTCTCTTTAGACCAGCAACGCGTGATCCCGAGAATACGTGTCAACTCAGAACTCGAAGTGTTGAACCGTAATCCCGTGTAGGGGCAAGCGACGCCCACCCGTCCGCGCGTCACCTGTACTCGCCCTACCGAGTCCGAAGGTCGCATCTATTCCTATCAATGCCGCCGCTAATCTAGCTTCTTCAAGCTCCGGGCGTGATGAGAACATCGTCGGCCCGGGCGTCGGTGTGGATGTTGGGGGTGGTGTCGGAGGAAGAGTTGGACCTAGAGTTGGTGAGAGAGTCGGTGCCTTCGTGGGTCCCGGCGTGGGCGCTGACAAGGACGAGGACAAAAAACGAGACGGGGGAATGATACAACATTATGGGCTTTGGGCCACAAGGTAGTGTATAAATGTTGTACCATTGACTGCCGCCGCTCTGTGTTCAACAGAACGCCCTTACCACAACGTACACGCATGATCACCCTAGCGTCTGCCAGATGCCAGAACAGATGTATATGTCGAAAACAAAGTGTACTTTTGCTTCGAAATAAAGGCGGAAGTAGATGGCGGTGTACGTGAAACACTATACTAACGGTTCGCACCTGGTGTGAGACCGGGAGTAGGAGCGGGCGATGGAGCCAGCGTGGGAGCGAGTTTTGGAGACGGTGTTGGAGCCAGCGGGGGGGCGGTTGTAGGAGCGGGTGTTGGAGCAGGTGTTGGAGCCAGCGGGGGAGCAGTTGTGGGAGCGGGTGTTGGAGTAAGTGTTGGAGCCAGAACCGGGTGTTGGAAGAAGAACATTAAAGCCTCCATGGGAAGCTGGTGCAGTGAAGAGCACCTACAATAGGGTCAAGATAAACGTGTGCGAGTTCTTCTCCCTCTCTTGTTCCCCGGCAGCTTCCCTGTACTGGTTTCATCACATAGGTATCTCTATATGGGAAGTATAGCGACAGAAGCTGATTCTAAACGCACACCTTGTGTGGGAGCGGGGGTGGGAGCGGGAGTGGGTCCACACACAATGTCCATAACGACGAGGCCGCCAGTGTCTTCACTTGCTGCCATAGAGATGAAGAGCCTTTCCGTGGTGTTGGAAACGACAAACCCAGCGATGACTCCAGACACAGTTTTTGTTTCGCTGTTGAGCTGAACCGCGACCCCACCAGATAAGGCCCCGGTGGAACTATCTCGCTGGAACACCACCACCTGCGGCGTATGCGGAGGATTGTTTTACAACGCTCATGAGCACCGTGGACGTAGAGACGTTCCATGTCTTAGTCAACTCTTGAACCTAGACGAGCAAAAATGTTTTCGTCGGGCAGGATCCCGCATCCCGTCAAGGGGCACCGCTGATACAGTGCAAAGGGTGCCACAAGAAGAGAACTAAGCTCAGCGGACGGGTGTCCATGATGGTACAACCAGTCCGCGGATCGTAAGAGTATTCTTCGGTGCCCCGATAACCACTAAAGTTTCAATGCTGAGCACAGAAGTACATACCAACTTCGATACACCCCGAGAGGCCACAATAATTTTTCCAGCTAGTGTGGTGCGTCCAGAGAAAGAGCGTGCAACAGTCATCGAGGATGCTATCACCACGCACTCCTCCATGGTCCGCCGTAGATCTCGTTTCGGGCAGATGCATTTTTCCACTCGGTAGTGACTCGCTGATGGTTCAAGGATGTGCATACCTCGTCAGATTCATGTCGACCGATCAAGACCGTAAGCTCGAGCGCCTGCGCTACGAACACCTCTCCGGAAGTGCTTCCGCTTATGCTTGAGTCAGCGATGAAGGTGGTAGTCGACGTCACGACGCCGTTCGCAACGTCTAACCGCAGATGAATGACCACAGATGTGGCACAACCGAGGACATAGATCTGTCGGGGCGGGGGGGGCTCCGTTCTCATTGGCGGTGGACACGTCCATGATATCGCATTTTCTGCCAACTCGGCCGAAAACCCGGAAATGATGTACGGATTGAACTTGGTCGAATACCGTAATTGTGCGTGTGATGGCACCGGGGTGCAATCGTTTTTTATATCATTCCTATCTTGGTTTTTTATCGCACCCCAGTGCCATAACACCGATGGGTGCCATAACACCGATACCGGTGCGGAAATGCAATTAAATCATTTCGTTCTAGATTTTCAACGCACCCCCGGTGCGATGACACCGATGGATGCGTTACGGAAGAAATCAAAGTGGCCGTGATACGGTGCTGAGTAAGCGCATGCGATGACACCGATAGGTGCGATACTCAATAAATGAACAGGTGGTCCCTGGTACACGTAGATTGCGTAGGCGGTACCATGCAACCAGCCCGGAGTGGTGATCAGTGATGAGGTCGAAGGAGAACAGACTCTGTGGTTCCCTGCTGGGCAAGGTATACGGCACGGTATCGTTTTTGTTCCAACCTCTTTGTTGGTCGCAAGCCCCTCATTTGTTGGCTGTTGTTTCCATCTGTCTTTGTCTGCTTCAAGGGGCATGGTACCGGTAATTGTAGTACCGTTTACGAGCTCCTTCTTGTTCGGTTGGTTGGAGGCGTGGGATGTGTAGTGTGTGCTTGTGGTTGAATGAGTGAGTGCATTAGATGTACGGATTACCGTAGAAAAAATTAATAAATCATTCCTACTGCGCAAACCACGACTGCACGATATACATACATGAAATGGCGCCCCATTTGGTACCTGCCAACTGCGTCACATACCGTTCGACAAGTGGCCCGGAGGGTACCGGCACCTTGCGGAAACACGCAAGTTTTCGTCCTTAGCAGATTTTATATTGTTGATATCGCACCGGGTGCGAAAACACCGATACCGGTGCGGAAATACAACTAAATCATGCCGTTCTTGATATTTTTGCGCCCCATGGTGCCATATCACCGATGGGTGCGAAATCAACGATGGGCGCGATGACACGCACAATTACGGTAATCGCCAAAGAAGCAAGAGAAGCGGGACGGGCATCTCTCCGCGCCTCGAGCTTGTCACCCGTGCGTGTTTCATGGCCAGAGCCAAAACAACGGATGTAGGATCCGACGCGCCCACCACAACTTCATTACACAGCCCATGATATCTCTGTGGCCCGTGATACAGGTCGAGGTAGTCTGCCGTCTGGGCTGTTGCCGAAGGATTGGTGCTTGCAACCATCTCCTCGTCGATTTGAATGATTGGGCGGCATACACAACATTTTGTGTAGTCACAGCAGTCTCAATCTATTTACTTGAAGCTCACCGAGAGTCCATCCGGTGACACCACGATGTCGCAAAGCTCCCCGTCAGGTGCCGCCGAAGACCAAGTTGGCTCCTCGGTGCCATCGCTATTGACCGCCAATACAACTTCGTCGGTTGTGGAAACGTAGAGGGTCGAACCGCCGGGGCTGAAAGCAACCGCTTGGACGTCGTGCAATGATGAGTCCTTCCCTAAAGTGGGAAAGGTTGAGGTTGTCCTTCCCCCCCCCGAGGCATAAATAGTCATAATGACAGCAAGCAGCACAACAAGGAAAACCAGTTAGTTTCATTCGAAGAAGTCAAGAAGACGCACCGTGGCACGACCCGCAATTTCCTTAAAAAACGCTCACGGGCTGTGGCTGGATGGCGAGTTCAATGAGGCAAAAGCCATGATAGCCGCAACGGTTGGCTCTATTCACAATTCCATATGGTCTACACACGGCAGGATTTGGTCGGGGTTCAAACCACAGCGCCAAAGCCCACCAAGAACTGAAGACATCGTGCGCGGAATACAAAGAATGTAGGGTGAAGACTGCGCGGGAGCGCATGATACATCGGTCAATTCACGCCATTCTCTACTAGGGATCTTACCCAAAGTTGCCGGCGGTATCAACAGTGAGTCGTCGCACGCCACCACCTTCTCCTGCCAGGGCTGCTCAAGTCATCGAGGCCAGCAAGTAACACAAAGAAATGGAAACGGGAATCCATAGTGAGCACCAGCGATGCTTTAACGAGGTAATGTTTTACAGGAAACACCAAAATAATTACCAAGTGACGATATATCCATCTGTAGTATAGTGTGAGCGGTACCTGGAAGGGAAGGAGGCACGTGATCAATGAATGAGCTCATTATCGGTTATATAAAAAAAATCCGAGTATTCCGCTCCTCGTTGAAAAAACGTCTGAACGAGTGCAGGTTAACTACTGTATGAGGACTGGCCAAGGTCTCAGTGTGGATTAAACTACTCTTCGTATGCCAAAAGGGCTGCTTCACTTGTTGTATCGATTTCCGAGTGAGAGCTCATGTGTTTGTCACAACGCCATCTGAACGGCACATTAAGTGGTTACACCGCGACCTCACGGATGGCCGTACACATTTCATCTCTCGCTTCCGTCTTACCGATGATCGAAACCTCTTCGATTACGCTGATGGACATCGCGTCCCTGCCTCCGCAAATTTGCGACGCATCACCATCGCACGGGTCATCGCAAGCTGTAGATTCACCGAATACATCGTAGTCGTCATCTCCGCACCAACACTTGTTTAATAGTAGGCAGTGGTTGGCCGGCACCGAGTAGTCACGGACATGCGAAGAATTGCACGCGTCGTGGAGGGGGTGGTAAATCTCAAATAGGTTAATAACCGCGGAAGCTTGGCTTCGGAGGAACAGGGAGATGCGCAGGCTCAATAGTACTTGCCCGCCTACTACACTTGCGTTCGGCGAGGTACTGGTGTTCGACTAGGGCAGGGTATGTTGAGATCGGCAAACACCAGATGGACGAAACAGCACTTGCATGTCTTCCTCTCCAAACGAGCGCGAAGCAAGGCCATAAGGTGATGCGACAACGAATGCCCCGAAGACCTGCAACATACTTCTTGTAGAGGAATACACGGAGTGTTGTGCAAGAGAAAATAGAGCACGGTTGGGGAAGCCCGTCCAACAGACCTGGAATCACGGAAACAATGGTGGCAGCAGGTAGATCCTCGGTGTGCTTCAGAAAACAGCACTGTGCTTGAGTTGAGACTTCTATGGGTACCTCTGTCAGTACATGTTGAGGTCCCCGGGGGATTTTCTCGACACTGTTGATCCAATGGTCCTTGGGAATCTAGAGTAGCTAAGGTATGGTGCTGGCGAGTGCCGAATCTGTCCAACCCCCTAATAGCGCTTCACTCAACTCATGAACGTCACCATTAGTGTAGAACAAGAAATAGGTTCGGATTTACGTGTTTGACTACATATCATCGGTTCAGGCTTGTGGTCGCAACTCTTCGAAGGGGAACGCTAGACCAAAACGCAGCGCTAGGCCTACGGACGTGAGCTATTGCCCCGTCTCAAATGAGCCTTTGTGGCGATTGGTGCCGAACGTGCCTGGAAACGTGTGAAGTGCACCTAACATAAATCAACTCCAGGGAGATGCTTACGGCATAACAACCTTGTTGGTCTAGTTTCCAGGCTACTCCAAGGTGTCGAAGGAGAAAGTAGAGCAGCAATGTTACCCCCTTAAAGAGTGTTTCTGTCACCAGTCTGCATGCTAGGTGTTTGGGGTGTCTTTCTTATCGCGAGCAATCGTGGCTCTTCCCGTCGCTTGCACAAGTCAGCACTACCCCAGCAGCGTCTTTGAGTACCCTCCACAAGATCATGTGCGATGCGGGGGCACTTAAACTCCCGACGTTTCGTCTTGCAACCATGCAGTTTTAAGTCTTGCAACAAGCAATGATGTGTGTAAAATACATTGCCAACGTTTACAGTCGTTCGGGCGTTGCTCTGTGATAGGCATGCAAGGGGCCCTCGAACTCAGCAACTCGTCGGCAGGGTCAGCGCACCCATCGAAACAAAGCCCCCACGTCAAGGTACATAGGTGTGTTGCTGGCTAGTGCGTTGCGGATCTACGTGTTTGTTACAATAGCGACTGGCACATCCCATATTTCTTGTCCCTAAGAGCCACCGAACATCGGGAGATCGATATGATCCGGATATGGCCTACTTTCTGAGACAAACGTTTCTCACCCAGTAAAAGGAAAATCGCGTTGCCAAAACGTTGCTACTCGTTCCATGGCTCACCTCGCGCGCAAACTGAGTTCCGAAGTACTTGAAAGCGCTGCAATGCTCTTGGCACAGCTTCGCCGGCGTGGTAGGTGACAGCAAGTTTGTTCGAGGGGACAGGGGAGATTCGACGACGTGTAAATGGGCTACAGTATCGTCCGATGGAGAAGAAAAGCTTTCGAGATTCGAAGCTTCGTCCTTTGCGTCTGTCACCGTGATCTACCTTAGCAGCCACCCAGTCCTATGTAGACAAAATTGTACGCTCTAATCTAGACACGTGTCGGAGCAGCGAAGGCCCCTTTCAAGCCATGTTGCACTCACCTCTGTGGTCATGGTACCGGCTAAGGAAATCTTGGTGGCGGAACTAAAGACACGATTTCCTTTGTCATCCGCGAAGCAGCCAAGGTAGGTGGCTGTGGTCAACGGAGAGCAAAAATAGAAGTAAAGCTGAGGTCAAGTGGCGCAGCATGGGGGAGAATCTGAACAGTGATGAGGTTCATGACCGGACGTCCCCCACCCGCACTCATGACTTGCATGAGTGTATGGCATCGAATCTCCTTCCGCGATGTTTCGGGCGTGGCTCGCCGGAGGAAACAATCTATCGTGATATCTTCGAGATCTCTCGCAATGTCGTTTGTCAATGGTGGCACCAGGTACACGCGCACGTCGCTCGATAAGCTTGGTTTTGTGAGAGGGACAGACAAGGGTGTTTGCGTTGTTTTCTGCGTGATATTGTTCGGCGTGCGACGCCTTTGCCGTCGTGCCTCTACACTGTGCAACTGGGCATGTGATACACGGCAGTCTCAGAATCCCACCTACGACTTGGGTGACGCTATATGCAGATTCGAGCACCACATCGTCCTGATCGTTGTCTGTGGTGCTGGATGAACCTTCCAGTTCCGGTTGGGTGATGCTGGTAGAACCAAGCAGAACCATCGAATCGGTGGACGGGACGACTTCGGAGTACTCATAGGTGACAACCGTATCCTCTCCATTGACATGCGTGAACGCCTGGTGAGGGTTTAATCAGTGGGAGGTCGAACGGTCAAGGTGGTCGGCCATGGGGAATTCTGGGTCGGAGCCAAAGTACAACTAGCTGGTGTGCGGCGCTATTTTCACGCGTCGCCGCATCTTCACCAGATTTCGAGGCAATAACACGTTCTGTTTTTTCCAGCGCAAGCCCTGTCGGTGTAAGTACTTGCACAGGACCTACGGCGATGCTCAAACACGATTAATGGCAACAACGATTTTCCGTTTGTGGATTGCATCGCGTGTTCGTATTCAGGAACGTTTGTGATATAGGGAACCAATAAACCACCCATAATGTACCCATTCAAAGTGCTCCTGCAAAGGGGCACCACAACGTTTATCGAGTTGCACCTTCAGCGATGCACACACATTGTTTTGGATTCAAAGCGAAGAAAAATCCCAAAAGGCAACTTACGTGGATATCTGAGGATCCGGGCCGAAGCATTAGCCCCCTCAATTCGTCAACCCCCCCCGAGTCCAGATCTATGAAGGAGTATAGCCCGGCGCTTGAGGGGTTCCAGTAGCCGGTGTTGCTCCAAGCCAGTGGTTGCGCTGAATCAGCATCTATTGTTATCACCTGGGGTCGCGTTGGAGTCGACCGAGCGTCGATAAGTTCACAGTTAGCCCTATGCCGATGGGATTAGCAGTGAGAAGTACAGAACATGCCCGGTAATGTGGAGATCGATATTAGTTCACTTCAAATGAATGTATCCGCATACTTCGTAAAAACGACCGATTTGTTGGTATGCTAACTTCACTCGAGAACGTATCGGTTGCCTTCAGGCATCGTGTGCGCGTGATGTTACCTTTTTTCAGTCGGCGGGTGGACATGCGACCAACATCGATCAGCCTTGGAACACAGTAAACCGCTTGCAGCTACTTCACGGAGAAGTTGTTGTGAAGAGATTATTGCGGGGGGACTATATCTTTACCGTCCTGATGCCTCGGAGCCATGCCGAGACTTCAAATGCGAGAATCCGACCAAAGCGATGAGTCGAAGACAACGTAAGCTAGCCAGGAGAATGTGCCCCCTCCTCCAGCACATATTTCACATTCCCGACTAGCTGGCATGGCTGGGGAAGCACCAGGAGCGAAAAGGTCGCTAAGCACAAAGTCTGCAAGGAGAAAATAGACCGAGCGAACGGAAATACTCACCCACTCTTCATTTTCACTGACGGCAATCTGATTTCCTAGCATGTACCCAGTGGTGGAGGACGTGAGCGTTGCGGAAGTTGAGGCGGAGCCAGTCCTTATCGGGACGTCCTGCACGATCTCCAAACTATCAGCCGGCAGTTAAGATACGACGGGCAGACGACGAAAGGGTGAGGTCAGCACGCCCTGTTCCACCCACAAGAAGAAGTTATCTGCAAACAACCACTGAAAAAGGACGTTCCAAACGTTGGCGTTGGGAATAGAGTCTATCGCAAGGTTTTGTCTGGCTGAAACTGCGGTGCCTGCGCCGGCAAAACAAACAAGAAACACTACCCCAGTACAAAGGTACAAACGTATACTTCGTATGGCCGTAGCAGATGCACACGCGCTCATTGCACAGCGCGATACCCCCATGAGTTCTACCAGACGTTTGGGCCCAAGTGCAACGGCATCATCATTCTTCTGTTGATTGGTCTAGGGTCCGCCCAAGAGGCGGATTTCTTTCGACTGAGGTTAGCCTGGTCTGAGGTACTTGTTGGTACCGACATAACTGGAGTAGCCCTATCGCCCCTTGTCCGTTCGGCACTGTTTGTAGTCTAGGGGACTTCCTCACGTCCTCATGTGAGCTGTGCTATAGGTGGAGTTCGGGAGAGAGGCAATTCGTTTCGAACCACTTTTGGAGGAAGGGGGTCCAATCTATGTCGAAGGAACCTTCGCACGTTTGTTATGGATATGACAGTATGCATATGCCAAGATCTCAAACTAATCACGGAAGCTTACGATTTCGTTGACAGTGTTTCAACAACCGTGGAAGCATTTTGTCGTATTCATGGAAGTTGGGAATGGCCAAAACACTAAAATACTACATGCCATCGATTTCCAATACTATATCTCCCATGGAAGCTCATTTGACGTCCATTGCTTCCACGGAACATGTCAGACTTTGGTCAAGTCTGGCGTCACTTCCACCCGGAAGTCCGCATCTGGCATGGAAGTTATGGAAGCTTTCGTCACTTCCGCGGAAGCCTTCCACGAGCTTCCACCTGGGCTTCCGCCAAGGCTTCGATTGCTTGCGTGGAAGCTTCCATGAATGTCATGAAACGGTAGTGTTCGGTGTACCTCTTTCTGGCCTCGGAACCAAGCCGTATGTCACATTCAGACAGCGTTCGCCCTAATGTGTGGTATACTCCAAGCATCGACTGCGCTAACCCGCTTCCCGATGAGGAGATGTCAGTCTCAGTGCGACTGAAAGCAGAATGTGCTGCTAATGGCCATGATCTGGGACCCTGTGACGGGTTGTCATGGGGGAGGCTAAGGTACAAGCGTGTGTGTTTGTCTCATCATTCTGGCGCCAGTCTGCACACCGTTTGGTGTGCAGCTTCGATGATTCAGCCGAGGTCACAAGAATCAGGTCGCGCAGGATTTTTACTGTTGCTCCACCTTTCCTCCAGCAGAACTTGCCTAAGTTGCCGTTGTTGAAGTACAACAGCAGCATAGTATAATAGTTGCATTGGGGGCACAGATCTACGGATCGTAGTCAGAGGATTGGGGGAAATGAGGGAGTTTCTGCTTTGTTTTCTCGGAGATTCGACAATGGTCTGAATAGTGTGACGGATGGATGTGGTGACGCACTCTTGAGTGGTGCTTTTTGTTCTCGTTTCCACGTTACCCTCTACATGTATTTCAAGACTTTTCCATCTCGGCCCTCACTGGCCGAGCCTCCATTCTTTCTCCGCACGCACACAAGCTTAAACCTACCCGGTTTTTTTAACAGTCATCGCGAGAAGGGTTCAGCCGTTGCTTTCCCGCGTCCATTAAAGTCCAAGTATTTCTCACGAAAGCAATCGTTGTCTGTTGCATTAGTTGCATGGTATGCATGTAGATCAAGCATGCTCCAGAGAGATCTTCGAACCCACAACCGAAGCCTGCAAATTACTGCAGTTTGCGAGATAACCACGAATTAGACCACCAGGGAAGTGTATTGAGTGCATACTATACCATTTCCAATCAAGGAAAAATCACTGGAGATCAACCAGGAGACGGGGAGTTGAGGACGACCACATGCCATCGTTTATCTTATATTTACAGTATTGTTCAAGGTTCTGTGTTGCAATGTACGCGAGAGCTTCCATCACTTCCACGAGCATAGTTGAAAAGATTGTAGATAAATCGTCGTTAAATCGTGCATCTATCACGTACAATGTATCACATACCTGCATGTGATAGCAGCCAGCTCCCGCCGTCGCAAACGATTCAACGGACCAGGTGACGAGCTGACTGCAAGAGCGTCTGTTGCAAGGTCTAATGGAGGCCTGGTCGATCGTAGGAATGCCAAGGCGCCATGGCACCCTGCAAGAAGTAGGATCGGCACGCAGCAGATACAACGCCTTGCCCGGTGTCGTGGCCGGTACCGATGAGCACACATTCTCGAGAGACTCCTCAAGTGTGCGTCTGAAACATACAAAATGACGAGAGCTAGATTTACCGACCACCTTCAACTCTGCTTATAGGAACGGACCACGGACCGCGCGAAACGATGCGGCGCAACTATTATACGCTGCTGTCGTGATCAGCGAATCAGAGTACAAGCAACAGGAATGTTTGTTCGTCGAAGCAGATAGAATAAACTGGTGTTTATTTTGTAACAGTCGAATTAGAATTTGGCTTCATTTTCTACCGGAAACCCAGGGTCACGGTGTTTGGAATTATTAGTCTATAGTTGGGGGTGTCATTCCGTGATCGAGTCCACGCAGGGGCTGTAGCAAAGTCGGGTAACGTGTGACAGCTACAGAGCGCGTGAAGCAACGGAAGGACAGCAGCAGCCGCCTAACGCAGTAGCGGCGGCAGTTTAGAAAAGGGCGGGACGGGACACGGCGCAAGCATTGGGGAAGTGACCAGCACGCGACTCTCCATATAAAGGTGTGTACTCGTGTCCAACATCCATCGTGTCGGCCGTGTTCCTATTCGCGTCCCGCTACTCTTGTGACCTCACCGCTGCGTGCATTTAGCACGAGGGGGGAGGGTGCAGTAAGATAAGCGGCGGCAAGCCACCGCAGTCTCGCTCGCCGCGCCGCTCAGATAGGTCCCTTCCCAAACATGGGATGCGGTTCATCCCAACCGAGACGTACTCTCGCTGAAGAAAAAAAATGCGGTTCGTCCCAACCGAGACGTACTCTCTCTGAAGAAAAAATTCAACGGCAAAAAGAAAGAGCGGGGCCTGTTGTATGGTCGCACGCTGACTTGTCGCGGTTGATAGCAGCCATTGTACTGCACGGGGTGGAGGAACCCTGCGGCATCGGACATAACCAATCGACCCGCGGCAGTAGGGCATGATGCTGTCACGAGTATGCACATGAGGCAGGTGCCTTGTTTTCTGTTCCCCCGGCTTACTAGGGACTACTTGCCGGTACAATCTTGTCTGTGCCGCGCACAGAGGGGCATATAGCTGAAGGAATCGACGATAATATGCCCACTCACGTAAGCAATCGTCTCCACGGATGGTATTGACAAGTCCCCACTGATGGTATCGACAAGTCCCATGGCATACAAAGCGGCCGCATACGTAATCGGAAAGTGCATTCAACAGCATTCACGGGAACGGATAAAAGCAAAAACACATGCATGCGAGAGACAGACTCAAAGAAAAAGACTGAAAAACAAAGAAGACGAGAAAAAAAAACGAGACAGCGAACTACGTGCTGTATGCATAAGGAAAAAGAAGATGAGAAAAAAATAGGGGGGGGAGGTGAAAGTGACACGCTAGGTTCGAACTCGCGAGGAACGTCAGGTAGCGGTCCATGTGAGTGCATCACGGTCTCGAGGGGCATCACGTCAAATTCATTGCCGCTGTGACACAAACCTTCTAAAAGAATACGTCACGTCCATCGACGATTAAGCGACCAAAAACGCCCGGACAGCAATTGATGCATGCCAAAAACTCGTCAACCTGCCGTAGGATTGTCTATGCGGAAGTGATCTCAATGAAAAAAAAAAAACAAGGACACGCACCAGCACGGGACGCGCCAATAGTGGAAGCACTCGTCCGTGCTGTTGGCGAGTGGAAGTTAACCGATCTCAACGCAACGAAACACGAAGCCATACATGTATCAGCACGGGATGCGCCAATGAGTGGAAGCACCCGCGCTCTTGGCGAGTAGAGTTAACCGAATTCAACGCAGCGGTAGAAAATACCACAAATCATGCATCAGTACGGGACGCGCCAATGAGTGGAAGCACCCGTGCTGCATATGTGATGTCAGCCTCAGCACGGGACGCGCCAATGAGTGGAAGCACTCGTGCTGTTGGTGAGTAGAGTAAACCGATCTCAAAAAGAAAGAACAAAACGCCGTACATGTATCAGCACGGGACGCGCCAATGAGTGGAAGCACCCGCGCTGTTGGCGAGTAGAGTTAACCGAATTCAACGCAGCGGTAGGAAATACCACAAATCATGCATCAGTACGGGACGCGCCAATGAGTGGAAGCACCCGTGCTGCATATGTGTTGTCAGCCTCAGCACGGGACGCGCCAACGAGTGGAAGCACTCGTGCTGTTGGCGAGTAGAGTTAACCGATCTCAAAAAAAGAAAGAACAAAACGCCGTACACGTATCAGCACGGGACGCGCCAATGAGTGGAAGCACCCGCGCTGTTGGCGAGTAGAGTTAACCGAATTCAACGCAGCGGTAGGAAATACCACAAATCATGCATCAGTACGGGACGCGCCAATGAGTGGAAGCACCCGTGCTGCATATGTGTTGTCAGCCTCAGCACGGGACGCGCCAACGAGTGGAAGCACTCGTGCTGTTGGCGAGTAGAGTTAACCGACCTCAAAAAGAAAGAACAAAACGCCGTACACGTATCAGCACGGGACGCGCCAATGAGTGGACGCACCCGTGCTGTTGGCGAGTAGAGTTAACCGAATTCAACGCATCGAAAACGAAGTCGTACACGTATCAGTACGGGACGCGCCAATGAGTGGAAGCACCCGTGCTGCATATGTGTTGTCAGTTTCAGCAAGGGACGCGCCAATGAGTGCTGTTGGCGAGTAGAGTTAACCGATCTCAAAAAGAAAGAACAAAAACGCCGTACACGTATCAGTACGGGACGCGCCAATGAGTGGACGCACATGTGCTGTTGGCGAGTAGAATTAACCGATCTCCACGCATCGAAAACGAAGTCATACACGTATCAGTACGGGACGCGCCAATGAGTGGAAGCACCCGTGCTCATATGTGTTGTCAGTTTCAGCAAGGGACGCGCCAATGAGTGGAAGCACCCGCGCTGCGTACAAGTATCAGTACGGGTCGCGCCAATGAGTGGAAGCACCCGTGCTGCATATGTGTTGTCAGTTTCAGCGAGGGACGCGCCAATGAGTGGAAGCACCCGCGCTGTTGGCAAGTGGAGTTCACCGTATCCAACGCATCGAAAAAAAAAAAAAAAAACACGTATCAGCACGGGACGCGCCAATGAGTGGAAGCACCCGTGCCGATGGCGAACCGGGGTTCACCGAATCCAAGAAAATATATATATAAAAAAAAAAAAAAAGAGAAACCATCGCTAGTGTTCCAAAGAGAGAAATATTCGGGATTGGTCGACGTCCGGTGACCGTAGCGTCAGCAGCAATAATCACTCCATTCAATCCACAGGCGTCGAGAACGAACTAACG